CTTTTCAAATCACATTTTTCTTACTGCTGCATATATTTTAATGGCGTCCACCTTGAGTATGTTGGCATCCATTTTGTATTCCAATTCTTCCAGATTCCTAACGCAGTTTTCCTTGGTCCTATTGTCTTCTTAAAAGCCGTATTAATATCTCTATTAAATATCCCTTCTCTTCCTATTCCTTCATTTATTTCATTCTCCAGCCTTATCCATTTAATCCCATCCTTATATCCAATATCTATTAGATTTTTCAATTGGAATGTTTCATAGTAAAATTCTAAATTCGGTATTCCCCATCCCATCTCTTCTTGAGATGAATAATTTACTATGTCTGAGGTTCTAACTCTTTTACTTCCAAAAATCCAATTTTTAAATACCTTATTCCATGTTTTGAACCATATTTTCCTAAAGGGTTGTGTAATTATTTGAAATAAATATAATAATTTCAGTACCAGAAACATTTTAACTGCTCTAATACTACCTAGAAGTGAGAAGTGTATGGAAGTGAGAGCTGGACCATAAAGAAGGCTGATCGCCGAAGAATTGATGCTTTTGAATTATGGTGCTGGAGGAGACTCTTGAGAGTCCCATGGACTGCAAGAAGATCAAACCTATCCATTCTAAGGAAATCAGCCCTGAGTGCTCACTGGAAGGACAGGTCCTGAAGCTGAGGCTCCAATACTTTGGCCAGCTCATGAGAAGAGAAGACTCCCTGGAAAAGAGCCTGATGTTGGGAAAGATGGAGGGCACAAGGAGAAGGGGACGACAGAGGACGAGATGGTTGGACAGTGTTCTCGAAGCTACAAACATGAGTCTGACCAAACTGTGGGAGGCAGTGGAAGACAGGAGTGCCTGGCGTACTCTGGTCCATGGGGTCACGAAGAGTCGGACACGACTAAACAACAATCCTACCTAGAATAGATAAATTCTTATTTTTCCATGATTTTATGTCCTTCTTGGTCTTCCTCCACACTTCTTTGTAATTTACATCTGGAATCCTAGCAATATTTTTAATAATATTTACCCCAAGTATTTAATTTTTTCCCTGTTGATATCCATCTTTGTCATTTTTGCAATTTCCTTCTCCTCCTCTTTACTTACATCCCAAAATAAAATTTCAGACTTCTCCAAATTTACTCCCAATCCCGACTCCTCTTTAAAGTCCTTCAGGATTATCATAAGTTCTCTTACACCCTCTAAGGGGTATGTAAATAATAATAGGATATCATCTGCATACAGGTTTAACTTGATTTCTTCCTTTCCTTTCTTATATCCTTTTATCTCCTCGTTTAACTCCTCTTTGTATATTGAAAATAACAATATACTCTTCTCACATATATTTCACATAATATCTATCATCATCACCCATCCATCCACCAGGGGGGTAAGGTACAGAGTAAAGCACATGATATAACAAACATAACTGCTGACACAGCTATTTACAGTGGCCTATCAGCACCTGTTACACCGCCACACAGTTGCAAAAACTAGGTCAGGATATGCACCCTGGCCCTTAAAGTGGCACACACCCTGTGAAACAATAATGAACCCTACTTTTAAACAAAACTATTCAACACTTTGATCACTGGCCATGCTAGATGGGGCATACCCTAAATTTTGAAGGCCAAGGGAAAATTGTGTGGCAAAATTGTGAGGATACTAGATGCACCTCTGTGAGGAAGGAACTCTACAATTTAGGGGCTGCCACAGAGAAAGCTCTCTCCTGCCCTGAAATTCCCTGCACTTCTAACGGTGGAAGAACTATCAGTAGGGCTCCCCTCTGCCTATCTTAACACCCAAGAGGGTCTTTGGGGATATTCATCCCACTCAGTTGCAAGCATTAAATTCAAGTGTTAAGCACTGGTGCATTGGTTGGTTCGTTGAAGTTTCCTTGTTTTTTTCTATATAAGGAGACTTCCTGAGTAAATGAATTGGGCTTCGGCTGCAGGCTGCACATTGGCAAAATCATATTAGCTCCTTGATCAAGTCAAATGTGTTGCTTATATGTACTCCAGATCACAGCTGTAATTAATGAAACAAGATTAGGAAGCATAAAAGAGACACAGCAAATTGGGCGCTTTATTGAAGTGTAGATCTGTGCCTTTGAACTATCCAGAGGCCACATATCAATAAGAAATAGTAGAACTGAGGAGGTGGAGTTTGATATTGTAAATCTTCGCTATGCTCCAGTGTTCACAACCAAAGTTAACCATTTCTCTGCCAGTGTAACCAGAAAAGGGCAAACTGTAAGAACTGAACTGGCTTCAACAGTATGTATGTGCATCTGTATGTGGAGATAAGCACTGTTGCCTGTTGTTCCCAAACATTTTTTCATCTCATGATTTTTTTCTGATCAAACAGGTTTTGCAGGGTTGTTTTTTCAAGCAATCACAAACCTTGCATAGCTAAGATAATAATACAGGGAGGTGTAATTTATTTATGATTACAGTTTTATGACAGCCTCCCTTTCAGGTTACAAATTCTTCCAAGATGTGTTACAAGTACAACATAATAAGTGATATCAACATAAAAAAGCAACCAGGATCTTTCCCTTAGGGTCAGATTGCAATGGTCGTGTATGCCATGGGTAACAATACCTACAGTCTTGGGCTTATCACCATCAGTGTAAGCAGCAATATATATTACTGAAGCTAAAGTTTCCCCAGAGTGGCTGGGGAAACCCAGCCAGAAGGGCAGGGTATAAATAATAAAATTATTACTATCATTAGATATAGTTTTGACAAGCAGAGAAGTATCAGCTGTTTACACCCTGCTTACCAGTGGGTGCCAGTGACATGCAGTGAAAGTGAAAAAAGTGTTGAACTGTAAGAGACCTGAATTAATGCTTGGCATGAAACCAATCTTGCCAGAAATAAAGCTGACATTGCTGCAGCCCCTGTGCTGATCTGTAGCTGTGCTGGATCCCACCACTGGTGTCAAAGTGGGAACCAGTTGTTGGCTTTTGTAGTGGATTGACTCTGAGTTCAAGTGCTTGGATGACGTACAAAAGAAAGCTTTCCCAGAGTGTCAAAATTCATTTCCTTATCTGAACTGGTAACCTGGCTTGTTCCACAGCAGACAATAACACTATAAATGGCAATCCAATAAAACTAGTAATTAACATTCTCTTGTGGATTTAAAGTTGTCCAAAGCATGTTTAGTTTGATGAATAAAAGTTTGATGAAACATGCTATGATGCTCCAAGAAAATGTTCAGCCTTGGACTATATATATATATATATATATATATATATATATACACACACACACACACACACACCGTATTTTTCACTCTATAAGATGCACCAGACCACAAGACGCACCTAGTTTTTGGAGGAGGAAAACAAGAAAAAAGAATTCTGAATCTCAGAAGCCAGAACAGCAAGAGGGATCACTGTGCAGTGAAAGCAGCAATCCCTCTTGCTCTTCTGGCTTCTGGGGTAGCTGCTCAGCCTGCATTCGCTCCATAAGACGCACACACATTTCCCCTTACTTTTTAGGAGGGAAAAAGTGAGTCTTATAGAGCAAAAAATACGGTATATGTATGTTGTTGCACTTACCACAGTTCCATTGTTTCCAGGGGCTTTGGTGTCATTTAATTTATTTTTGCAAGTATTTCTCTGGTGGTCTGCATTCTGCAGCCTCCCCAAGTGCTCCCTGAAACCTCCATGGTATCCTTGGTTGGGTTTTCCATGGGAAGGTGGGGAGGCTGCCTATTGTGTGGCTGAGAGCTGCTCATTGTTGTTTAAAGTCTTTTTACTTTTAAAGAAATCAAGGAAAATTTTGTTTTTAAGACAAAGGGAAGAGTTTTCCTTAAAAACAAATTCAGCAAGTGTACCAATCTCAGGCAGTTTACATGCTTCCATAACCAAGGAAAGACACCACGAGACAACTCTTCCCATGCAATCTTTTCAGATCAGGAAGCAATGGGAAGAGGGAAGGGTAGGGAATGGGCCATCTCACAACAAGATAATCTCAATTGCGCATCTGGCACAATTCTCAAAAAATGCTACAGTGCTCTGCTACTGAGGCAGAAAAATGGAAGCCTTTTTCATGGAGGAAGGAAATGTTTTGTCAAACTGGATAACAGGTTTCAGCAGGGCGTACAAGTATGTCACAAAGCAAAGTTATACACCTTTAATGTACAAACACACAACAAACTTATATACTTTTTCCACTTTTCCACATGGCCTACTTCTCCTTTTGACCTCCAAAGGGAGAGAATTTGTTTCACATTTGATCTGGGTCAAGCCAAGGTAATTCAACTGCCTGATCCCTACTAAACAAAATAATTAAATTCAGAATGAGATCAAGACCCTCTCTTCCCATTTGAAATGCAGTGTTTGGACCAGATTTTATAACCTGGTCTTTGTTGTTCATTCTTAGGGGCATAACAATAGTGCATATGTTTGCTTATATATTTAAAATGTGTGAGCACATTTTTGAAAGAAGAAATAAGAATATGTGCTTTCTTTCAAAAACCATTAACAGCACACAAAAAATGTTGTATTCTGCCTTTCTGGGATGACTCCAGGCATCCTTATGCTTTTGTTTTGCAAATGGCAAAACCTCATATATTATATGTGTGATGTTATGGATAATTCTGATGTAAAGGTTATACATATGCTTGTTTTAATGTTGAGCAGAAGTTGATTGATCAGTAAGCTGAACAGACATCAGAACCCTTCCAAAAAGTTTTTAGTGAAGGCTTCCTCATGAGCTATATTTTTTAAAACATACATGTGAGGCATTTTACATCAGGCCAAATTGGTCATATTTAGAGGGATTCAGACTTCTGCAAGCTGATTTTGCAAGGTTTTGAAAAAGATCTTGAAGGGAGAATATACGGTCTTCTCCAGCTTCGATTAAAATGCGATTGTAATAGTCACTTCATACTTAAGGAAAGCATCACAAACCACGAAAATTTGTATTTCTAAGCCTAGAAATTCAAATGTTGTCTACATTGCTCTTGCTGTATATACTACATTGCCAAAACACTGCAGTGACAAAGCGTGTTCTCACTAAAGGAGAGCACGTGTTGCGGATGGGGCCGGACAAAGCACCCTGCAATGACTAGGCAGGAAGGGGGCCTAGTGCTGGTTGGAGTGTATGTTGCTGGGGAAAATTTGTTGTTGCAAATTTAGGGGTGGGATCAGAGGATATTTAAGCAGGGTCCACAGCAAGCTACTTCTCTTTCACTGTGGACATCGGATCAGACTGAACTCAGTGAAGGACTGGTTGTATTTACATTTCTTCTCCTTTTCCTTTCCTTTGTTTAATTTTATTTGATTGGTTTCCTCTTATTATATTATTAGATCCCTGCCACCTTTCCCTGGGGCTTAGAGCCCCCGTGGGCTGCTGGGGCTTTGCCCTCGGCTCTGGCTGTTGGGCGACTCCCGGCCTAATCCTAGCTTGGGGCCCTTAGGGATTTAGTGGCTGGGGAAGACCTTTCCTTTAATTTATTTATTTTAGCTTCATTTTAATTTGAGTTTAGTAGCTCACCCCCCCACGTGGAACCGACTGCCTGCTCAGCGGTGGTGGCGCTGCTGGGGAAGCTGTTAGTTTTGTAAATTGCGCATAGCGCGCTTGGCAATTTTTTCGGGCTGTTTTAATCTGCTTTTGGGCCTGATTCGGCCTGGGAGGCCTCCAGGGCGAGTGCGGGCGGTAGAGACCTCCATTTTGGGTGGTTTTGGGCGGGAGCGCCATTTCCTGCCTCCCTCTACCTTATCCTGGCCTCCAGTGGCCGTTGGAGTGAGTGCAGCCTATAGTTGGCTGTGTTTGCTGGTGGCGCCACCTGGTGGCGGTTTGTATGGTTGCAGCTGATTGAAAGTGACTGAACCAATTTTCCATTCAGCCAGTTATTGCCTGTTAGCGTCTTTAGGTATTGTTTGCCATCTTTAAATTGTTTATTTGTTTTTCCATTGGTAGTAGGTATGGCCCCGAAAAGGAAGACGTCTAAGAGGCCTGGTCTTGTGTCCTCAGCGAAGAGACCTATTAAAGGCCCATCCCAAGCCTTGCGTTCACCTGCGCCAAATCAGTCGTTGAGTCGCATCCAATCCATGGTCACTGGTTTGGCTGGTGACCCTGCTGCGCTGGCCCGTGTTGAAGCTGAAATGGACGGCCTGTTGCACCGCTGCTCAACTCCGTCTACTTCTTCTGCAAGGCCAGCCCCTCCCGCAGGCGCATCATCTCTGGTGTCGTCATCTAGCAAAGAGGAGAGAGAGTTTATAGCAGCTGGGGGTTTCTTACCTAATACTGTGGCCCAAACCCCTGATTTACCCAAGTCTCAGGCTGCCATGCCGAAGGGTCGGGGTGGTGCCAGGGGAACGCCCAGGAGGAGGGCATCTGCTCGGATCCGGGCAGTGCAAGCAGCAGGTGCGCCGCCCCCAGCAGCTGTGCGCTCGGTTTCTGGTCATTCACAGGTTATCTCTTTTCAGTCTATTCCGGGCACCGCTCAGCAGGGTGATGCTTCTGAGTCTTCGGTAGAGGATAGCCTTCTTCCACCTCCGAGACCCTCTTCTGGTGGGCACCGTCGCCGCAAAAAGAGTTCCAGGAGGCGCGCCAAGAGAAGGCGGAGGGATACTTCATCCTCTCCCTCAGGTACTTCATCCTCTAGTTCAAGCAGCGATGAGGAGGCCTCTCTCAAGCTTTACTGGGGCTTTGGGGAGTCAACGGGGCTTCCAAAATGGGCATGGGAGCGAAGGGCCAACTCTCACAGAGCAAAGTACGGGGCAGTTCAGGATTGTCGAGATGGGGTCCTGGTACCTGAGGTAAAGGTCGCCACCAACTCTGTCAGGGACCTCATACCCGGTGCCCACTTGACTACCAAGCTGCGGTCCAGGATTTTGGATGGCCGTTATATTGACATATTCAGCCTTGCCCCTCCGCAAGAGGGTCAGGACCCACAAGACAAAGGCTCCACCGCCTCTAAAAAACGGGCGGTGGTAGCAAAGGTGGATAGGACATTTGAAAGGTGGCTGGATAGCTTCCAAGTTTTTGCTGGAGTCGTGTCCGCAGCTTATCCTAGGAGATCTTTGCATCTATGGGTGTACAGTGGTGCCCCGCAAGACGAAAAGAATCCGTTCTGGGAGTCTCTTCGTCTAGCGGTTTTTTCGTCTTGCGAAGCAAGCCCATTGACGGATTAGCGGATTAGCGCTATTAGCGCTATTAGCGGCTTTTAGCGGCTTTTAGCAGCTTATCAGCTTATCGGATAAGCAGATAAGCGGCTTAGCGACTTAGAAAAAGAGGGGGAAAAGGAAAAAAAAAACGCAGGAACTCGCAAGACATTTTCGTCTTGCGAAGCAAGCCCATAGCAGATTCGTTTTGCGAAGCACCTCCAAAACGGAAAACTCTTTCGTCTAGCGAGTTTTCCGTCTTGCGAGGCATTCGTCTTGCGGGGCACCACTGTATTTGTCTATTGTCCGTTCGGCCTTTACGATGGCTGGAGAATCAGCTGCAATATCGTATGATGAGAACTTTAGGCGCAGGGCAGCTAAGATCCCCACGGCCCGCTGGGACCGGAAGGATTTGGACGTATGGACCACTTTTGTGGCTCCGCGTATTGACAGGAAGGCTGCAGAACCTCAGAAATCTAAGGCTGTCCTCCCAAGGGTGGGTCGTAAGTTGTTTTGCTGGGATTTTAACAAGGGTACCTGCCTGCGACAATTCTGCAGGTACTCACATGCATGTGAGAAGTGTTCTGGGAACCATCCGGCTTCAGCTTGTACAGGGGGCCGTCGGTCCTTTTGGAAAGGGGGGGGCCCCCAGCAGCCCCCAAAAGCCGCTCCTCCGGCTCCAGCCGCTGGAGCAGCAAAGTAATACCTTGTCCTCTCTAGCCTATACCCCGGTACGGCTACAGCCGCTCCTGTTATTATTGCAGTCATATCCAGACAGGGCATCGGCGTCTTATTTGCGGGATGATTTTTCTTTGGGCTTTAGGATTCCAGTGGTTGCCACGCCGGTGGCTAGGAGTCCTGCGAATCAGAGGTCAGTTTTGGACATGCCAGAGGTGGCACGCAAGAAGATCGGGAAGGAGCTGGCTTTACGTCGTATGGCTGGCCCTTTCGTTGTTCCCCATTTCCCAATTTGCATATTTCACCGTTGGGTATTGTTCCTAAAAAAGCCCCGGGGGAATTCCGCCTAATTCACAATCTCTCACACCCTAAAGGCACATCAGTAAATGATGTTATTCCCCCGGAGCTTTGTACGGTAAAGTATGCTTCCCTTGATCAAGCGATCAAGATGGTACGGAAATTTGGGCCAGGCACCCTAATGGCCAAATGCGACATAGAATCCGCATTTCGGCTGCTTCCTATTCATCCCGATGACTTCTGGTTACTGGGCTTCCAGTTTGATGGAGGATTTTATTTTGATAAGGCCATGCCTATGGGCGGCTCGGTAGCCTGTGCGGCTTTTGAGCGTTTTAGTTCATTTTTGGATTGGGCTTTGCGCAAAAGGACTGGTCTGAGTGGTGTCACTCATTTCCTGGATGATTTTTTATTGGCCTCAGCCAATGATACAGGGCACTGCGTCGTGCTACTCCAGGCCTTTGCCGACTTAGCGGAAGAGCTGGGCGTACCGTTGGCCGCGGAGAAGACTGAGGGTCCTTCTACGCGTCTGACTTATTTGGGTATCTTGTTGGATACTGTGGCTCAAACATCCAGGTTGCCGGCAGATAAAATACTTGCGCTTAAAGGAGTCATTGAGGAACTGCTGCCCTTGAAGAAGGTGACTTTGCGACAGTTACAGTCGTTGCTGGGTCACCTGAACTTTGCTTGTAGGGTGGTTGCCCCGGGGCGACCATTCTGCTCACGTTTGGCCAGACTCATGTCAGGTTTGAGATCCCCGCGGCATAGGGTGCGCCTTTCAGCCCAAGTGAGGGTTGACCTTCGGATTTGGTTGGAATTCCTGGAGGAATTCAACGGGGTATCTTTGTGGCAGGACACTTTGAACCTCCACACTGATTTTCAGGTGCATTCCGATGCCGCGGGGTCTTTGGGGTTTGGCCTGTATTGGGACGGTAGGTGGTGTGCAGAGCGCTGGCCACTAGCTTGGCGTGGGGAATCCATAACTCGGGACCTATCATTTCTGGAGTTTTTTCCCATTGTAGTGGCTGTGCATTTGTGGGTCGAGCATTTCAGGGACCGTCGAGTGTGTTTTTGGTCCGATAACCTGGCGGTGGTGAACGTGCTAGCCAAGCAGTCGTCACGATCCACTAGGGTATCAGCCCTGTTGCGGGCTTTTGTTTTACATTGCTTGCGTTTTAACATTGTATTTTCTGCTCGTTTTGTTCCTGGCGTGTCTAATGACATTACTGATGCTCTGTCCCGTTTTCAGATGGAGCGGTTCAGGTCCCTGGCGCCAGTGGCTCGAGACCGTCCGGAATTTTTCCCGGATCATCTCTGGAACCTTGGCAGCACTTAGTTTTACAGGGAGTAGCTGCATTTCTTGCCCCCTCCACTTTGAGGTCTTATAAGAAGGCTTGGACTGATTTTTTACAGTTCACTGGGCAGCCGGTGGTGGGGGGAGTTGGTAACCCCCATTCTACCACCCAGGTGCTCCAGTACCTGGCACACCTATTTCAGAGGTGTCGGGCAAACAGGACGCTGAGACTGCATTCTGCAGCAATTTCCTTCTTTAGCAAGGCAATTTTTAACAAGGATCCATGTGGGAAATTTGTGGTGCGAAAGGCACTTGACGGCTGGGGGCGACTTCGTCCCTCCAGACCATCTCCCAGGCGGCCCATCACATTTCACCTGCTGACTAAGATACGCAGCAAACTGAGGAGCATCTGTTGGTCCAGGTTTGAGGCTCGGTTGTTTTCCGCAGTCTTCTCTTTAGCCTTCTTTGGGGCCCTGAGAGTGGGGGAGGTGGTCCTGGAGCCTAAGCGGGATGGAGGTTCTAGGGGTTTGTTGCTACAGGACGTGAGCTTGGCTCCGTCAGAAGTGCAAGTCAATGTCAGGAGTCAAAAACGGATCAAATGGGAAAGGGAGCGGTGATTCGGCTCCCAGCAACTGGGAAAAGGGGCCCGTGCCCGGTCAAGGATCTCCAGAAATATATGGCCCTACGACCGCCAGGTGAGGGCCCTTTGTTTATTCATGAAAATGGGCATCCGTTGGCCCGGCACCAGTCACCAAGGTGCTGCGCAAGGTGATTGCGGATTGCGGCCTTGCAGCTCCCGAGTTTGCTCCTCATTCCTTTCGGATAGGGGCTGCAACGACGGCTGCTCACTGGGGTTATCGGTGGAGAGGATTAAGGACCTGGGCCGGTGGAGGTCAGATGCGTACAGAGGTTATGTACGGAAATGATGTGATTGCATGCGCTTACGTTTCTTGTTTCCACCCTAGGCCCAGCAGCTATACGCATCTGGATTGTGGGGCACAGTATTGTACACTGGGCTGCTAGCAGAGCTCGTCAGTCCAGAGTGGGTGATGGCCTTGGCCTGCCACAGCAAGTGCGTGTGTCCTGGATCGCCAGAAGGGGGATCCTGTGGAAGGAGCTTCTACCGCTTATGCAGAGGCGTGTTCTCATGGAAGGCCCTCCTACAGCGATTGTGGTTCAGCTCGGAGAAAACGATATGGTTCATCTTCCTGTTATGTCCTGCGGGCTGTTATGTTGGAAGATTTGCGGTAATTGGCGGCCATGGTGCCGGCAACTAAAATAATTTGGTCACAGTTGCTTCAACGCCGTAAGTGGCGAGGTAGCCCCTGCTTGGCGGCCACTGAACGGGTTGGAAAGCGGATTAATTCTGCGGTGAGCAGGTTGGTGGTCAATTTGGGGGGGTTTGTGATTCCACACCCTCTTATTACGTTCAAAGCCGCTGAATTATTTATGATGGATGGGGTTCATCTGTCTTCTGTTGGGAATGATGTGTGGTTACGTTCAGTGGTGGATAAGTTGAGGGCGTGTTGAGGCTGTGAGTGGTTGGCGGCGAGCGTAAGGGCTCGTGTGGCGGTTAGGCATTGGTTAAATTGGTTGGTGGAGGGGTATGGATTGGCTGTGCCTGCCCCTCCAATGCTGTTGCGGAATGGGAATTCCGTTAAAGGAATTCAGGGGCTTACCATCCTTTCGTCCAAACCCCTGGAATCGGGTTCGGGCCGTGTAAGCCCCTAGGAGCATGCAGGGAGAAGCTGAGGGTCTGTGTCGCAGCTCCAGTCATCCCTGAACTTGTTCCTCCACACTGGCTTTCGCTGGAATCCGGGAGCCAGTGCTGTCCCCAATGTGGGGGGGGGACAGCTAGTCATAACCAATGCCTAAGCAACCACTCACAATGTGTATGCTAATAAAGTTGTGGCCAAAATTATGCCAAAAACCTTAAACAAAAATTATGTGTGATGTGTGAGTTATTGGGGTAAGGGTGTTTTGGGGGACCTCAGCACGCAACAGCATCAACACAACAAAATGAAGTTTTCAGAAGAGCTAGTAACATTGCAGCTGGCCTTGAGGAAATTAAATTTCACAGAGCTCCCTCCATTCCAGAAAAAAACAGTATACAAGTACATAGGTCAAGGGAGAGGGGTTGGTGGTGAAAAGGTTTGGAGGAAATTTTCCTGTATGCAAGGAAATGGGTGGTGGTGGAAGAAAGCTTCAGTTAAAATTCCAACCAAAGACCTTGGGTTTGCTTCCAAGTCTACAATTCTCTGATTCTATGAAATTCACAGTGCTTGACACATATAAAGGCAACATAACAAATCCTTGAATCACATTGTGAGCCATGAAACATGAGTACTGATACCATCAAGAGTTAGCTTATATTGTTTTCACAACCACTAAATCAGATCTGATTTCACCATTTAAGTGATCTTTGAGGAAATGGAACAAGTCAATCTTCTAACCACTCCAACTGTGTCTACCGAATCTGTATGGTACTTACAAGTCTCATTAGCTAGTTGATTTGCATGTACTGCCTGAGCTGGTAGCCTGGATTGTGCTGACCCGAATCGCTGACCCTTTATTGTCTACTGGACCGCTAGATCCATCCCCCAAGTCTGCAAGCCTCTGATCTTAGACTCACAGATATTTGTGCACAGGAATGTTCCTATTTTCATTTGTGAGACCTTAGAGGTGTGAACATGGCTTCTGTGACTGGGTTTAGGCAATGAAGCATTGATAGATTTGTTACCTGCAAGACCCCATTGCATCTGGAAGGAGAAACAGCTTCTGGACTATGAGACAAATGCCAGTCTCTGTTTCTTAACTTGTAGTTGATTAGCCAATTATCTTCAGTGCTCCCAGGTACTGACAGTCAACAACCAAACATGTCTAGAACCAAATGAAGTTGGAAAATAATGAGAGAGAGAGAGAGCAGAGTGCTGTTGAAAACTGTCCATGTTAATAAGGATATAACCTAGCACATAAACAAAGTGTCAACAACTGTTCCCATTATGAAGAAGCTAAAAACAGGAGTAGGTGTCTCAATGTTTTTGTGTTCTGTATTCAGTCCATCAGGTTACTAGATAATGAAATTCAGTAGGGGTTTGGGTGTGCTTTGTAGGAAACCCTTTGGAGCAGTCATTGATAACTACTACCAATGGGCCCTGCTTTTGACAACCAAATATAAAGGGGGTGGGGGTGGGATGGCGACAACCCTCAATTATATGTAAATGTGAGCTTTAAAAAATGAATGATATTTTATGACTAAAAGCAATCTCAGTGAATAAGGCCATTAGCAATTTAAATTGCACAGCAAGATTTAAATCATGTAATTTAAATCATTCCATCGTGATTGACCGGCACCAAATGACACACTTCAACATGGATCTCAGCATGTGGCGACTGAAAATGTCCCAAGGCAAGTCCAAACATTAGGCAGAGTAAAGTAAAGGTAAAGAGTAAAGAGTAAAAAGGTAAAGGTAAAGGTAAAGGACCCCTGGATGGTTAAGTCCAGTCAAAGGCGACTATGGGGTGCAGCGCTCATCTTGCTTTTCAGGCCGAGGGAGCCGGCGTTTGTCCACAGACTGCTTTCAGGGTCATGTGGCCAATATGACTAAACCCCTTCTGGCACAATAGGACACCGTGACGGAAACCAGAGCGCACGGAAACACCGTTTACCTTCCTGCCACAGTGGTATCTATTTATAATAATAATAATAATAATAATTTATTATTTATACCCCGCCCATCTGGCTGGGCTTCCCCGGCCACTCTGGGCGGCTTCCAAAAGAATATTAAAATACTATAATACATCAAACATTAAAAGCTTCCCGAAACAGGGCTGCCTTCAGATGTCTTCTAAAAGCCTGGTAGTTGTTGTTCTCTTTGACATCTGGTGGGAGGGTGTTCCACAGGGAAGGCGCCACTACCGAGAAGGCCCTCTGCCTGGTTCCCTGTAACTTGGCTTCGCAGTGAGGGAACCGCCAGAAGGCCCTCAGTGCTGGACCTCAGTGTCCGGGTAGAACGATGGGGTGGAGACGCTCCTTCAGATATACTGGACCAAGGCCGTTTAGGGCTTTAAAGGTCAGCACCAACACTTTGAATTGTGCTCGGAAACGTACTGGGAGCCAATGTAGGTCTTTCAAGACCGGTGTTATGTGGTCTCTGCGGCCGCTCCCAGTCACCAGTCTAGCTGCCGCGTTCTGGATTAGTTGTAGTTTCCGGGTCACCTTCAAAGGTAGCCCCACGTAGAGCGCATTGCAGTAATCCAAGCGGGAGATAACCAGAGCATGCACCACTCTGGCGAGGCAGTCCGCAGGCAGATAGGGTCTCAGCCTGCGTACCAGATGGAGCTGGTAAACAGCTGCCCTGGACACAGATTTGACCTGTGCCTCCATGGACAGCTGTGAGTCCAAAATGACTCCCAGGCTGCGCACCTGGTCCTTCAGGGGCACAGTTACCCCATTCAGGACCAGGGAATCCTCCACACCTGCCCGCCTCCTGTCCCCCAAAAACAGTACTTCTGTCTTGTCAGGATTCAACCTTGCACTGGTGTGCTTTTGAACTGCTAGGTTGTCAGAAGCTGGGACAGAACAACAGAAACTCACCCTGTTGTGGGGATTCGAACTGCCAACCTTCTGATAAGCAAACCCAAGAGGCTCAGTGGTTTAGACCACAGTGCCACCCGCATCCCACCTGGTGGTAAGTAGTGGGTGATGGTGTAATTTCTTCTGAGCTTGCCAGACACTTTCTCTTGCTGTGACACACAACCTACCCTGAAAATCCTAAGCTAGCCACTTGCCCTCGGATGCAGTGGGGAGTGCTGTCCAACTGAAAGAACCATCAGCTGCCAGTCCAGTGAGCTTCTTTATGTGGGATGAAATGGAGTGTTCTGTCTGCCTTTTGAAGCAAAATGTCTTCAGCTTTGAGTGTCACCAGATGTTGGGGAAAACTAGACTATTAGAGGGAAGGTGGGGAAAGGCATAACACCAAGAGTGAGTGAATTCAAGGCTTGGGCAATCTACTTTGTTTGTTACTAGAATTGTGAGAACCATCAACCAGACCCTGGTGCCTGATGGCCATCCAACATATACATAGCATAGGGCTGCCATACGTCCGGATTTTCCCAGACATTGCTGGGATTTCAAAGGTGGAATTGACATCCAGGAGGAATTTCTGAAAGGCAGTGCTTTGTCCTGGATCTTAGGCAAGTCAATCGAAAAATCATGGGGTTTTTTTGGCACTCAACAACTTTCGTGTTTCCCTAAAAGAATCTCAACAACTTTCAGGGTGTCCTGGTTTTTACTTTTTAAAATATGGCAACCCTAATATATCATTTACTGCATTAATGAATTCAATGAGATTTACTTTCAAGTAAGCTTGAAACTGCGCACACACACACACACACACACACACACACACCAGTTATATTCAACTGCTTCAACCTCTGCATATGCTTTAGAACTTTCTGTTGTTTTTAATTGAAATAGTCATTTATCGTGTCTAAATCTGCATTGCTGAGATGGAGTACATGACAAAATTACAGCAGAGCCAGAGGGTCTTTCTTGTGCAGATGCCATTTCAGATAGTCACATATTCATCTCAATGCCTTGAAATGCCACAAATTACATGTTGTTGTTAATTTATCTATATACCACATATATGCCCAAATGGTTTTTCTTAGTGGTTTAGAACTATAAAATCAACCCATAATTCAAACACACAATGGCATGCTACTTGTCAAGAATTGCTACTTGCCCATTCTGATGAAAATATTCTCTTGAGACAGGCAGCAAGTCTAAAAGCAATACCATGAGACTAGGGGAAATTATGAACTTCAGTCCCATTCGCACAATTGAGTTGCTACACTCTTAAGGAATTAATCATTTTACCTGCTGAAGATCTATCATAAACAACATGAAGTGAAGAATTATTTTTGTATTTCACATGGGTTGGTGGTGGTGGGGATTAATTAGTTTAAGGGCAATTCTTTAGTTGCTGCAAATATTTAAATGCCCAACTGAATCTCAGGATGCAAGCCATAAAACAAGGAGCTCAAAGTGGAGCTACCCCAAATATATTGCTGCTATAAATGGACGCTAGGACTCAGTCCAGATGATTAATTGTGGCTGTGTATGCCCTGGAGTGTGAACCTTACATCTTTATGCAGCCAGTTTGCAATTGCCCATTCAGAGTATGGCCAGGAACGGTTGAAGTGACCTCAACATACTGCAATTACATCAAGGTAATGGTTTATTCAGAGCTCTCATGGCATGGAAATGTTTTGACCCCCCCCCCCGGCTCCCATATTCTGCTTTTTTAAAAGCATCCCCTGAAGTTTGCTGGTCAGTGTGTTCCACTGGCAAATTGCTTCAGCATTCAGATACATTTTATCTGCTATCCATGCTGCAACTCTTCTATTCCACACTGGATCCAATCCATCTTGCAATAACACTGCTGAGCTATTGTTATCCCTCCTCCATATAGTGTTGTTTAGATTTAAAATTGTTGCAATATATACATCAGGAGTGGGGAATCTTTTTCAGCAACCCTATCTGGGAAACCTTCCAGAGGGGCACATGCCACTAACAGAAAGGACCAGAAGCACAAGGAGACCAGGCAATTAATGTGAATTTTACCTCTGTACAATAGGCTGGTTTCTACACACTCTCCCTCTACATACTGTCAACTATCCTGCTTTGAGCGGGACACCCCAGAATTACAGAAGCCACCCCAACTTCTGACTGGTTCCTGCTGGAGCGCAGCCCAGAAAGTCGTGCATCCCGATTTTTGTCTGTGGAATGTTGGAGGGTATGTCTCTAGGATCATAGGATTAATATTATTTCTTAAAGTAATAGCAGAGTCCAATTACACAGTAGAGGCAAATCCAAAACACATGCTGGTTGAAAGAATGAATAGTAAACACGACGACAGCCTCCGCAACGCTTTGCAACCATTCTTTATGCATTTATCAGACTTAGAGGCCTGAGTGTTTTATTGCCTCGTAATTTTGAGGAAATTGGATATTTTAGCACTGCAGCTGCTTTCTGACCCCCCCAAACAAAACAATTATAAGTTAGTGTTATTACAGTCAGAGAATATGCACCAGTGTAGTTTAAATATTGCTGAGCATTCCTTTTGCAAACTCCTGCGTTTCAGGTTTTGCCCAAGCACGCACGCACGCATGCGCATGCGCGCGCGCACACACACACACACACACACTTTAAGTGACAGCCATTTCAAAATACATATAAAGAGCTGTCTCCCACTCTGAGTCATAATGCCCCCTTTCAACTTTGCCTTCCTATTTTCTGTGTGCAAAACAAACAAAATAATATTTACCTTTTTCTTTTTTTAAAAAAGAAAAAGTGTTCAGGGGGTTTGGTTAACTGATAGCACAGAAGTGGGGGCATCTTAGGCCCATGGACTGAATGCATTCATCCAAGTCTCTCTGTCTGGCCCATAGAACTCTACCTTGGCCACACAATTTCCCTAGCCACACCCATTCCAGTTGTATTTGCTTGGCTGGCAGGTGCCCTTGAATTCTGACAAAACCTCTTGCTTGTCTGGATGGAGCATGCAGAAACTCACCTATGACACAAAGGTACCATTTGTATCCATATGGGCCACCCACTTTTGCGTCTGGCCCCAGCCACCTATGACACATGGTGCTAGGAAGGCCACCCAGAAAAGAATGCCCTCCTTTAGCTCCCTGTCCCTATGATCTGGTGTACATAAGGTCCTAGGTCAAAAAGCTGGTGGCAGCTTCTGGGAGCTCATGACCAGGACTCATAGCAGAAGTGTTTGCAGGGGCATTTTGTGGGGAAGTTTAAAGGAAACGTCGGGGGGAGAAAAAAGAAACGCACAAACACAAAATCTTAGGACTTTCTGACAGTAAGAGCAACAGAATCCCTTGGGAGGTTGTGGACTCTCCTTCCTTGGAGGTTACTAAGCAGAGGTTGGGTGGCCATCTGTCAAGGATGCTTTAGCTGAGATTCCTGATTGCAGGGGGTTGGACTGGGTGACCCTCGGCATCTGTTTCTCTACAAATCTATGATAAAACCTTGGGTACCTCTGTCTAGGGGACGCGGGTGGCGCTGTGGGTAAAACCTCAGTGCCTAGGACTTGCCGATCGTATGGTCAGCGGTTTGAATCTCCGCGGCGGGGTGAGCTCCCATCTTTCGGTCCCAGCTCCTGCCCACCTAGCAGTTCGAAAGCACAATTAAGTGCAAGTAGATAAATAGGTACCGCTTTATAGCAGGAAGGTAAATGGCGTTTCCGTGTGCTGCGCTGGTGCTGGCTCGTCACGCTGGCCACGTGACCCGGAAGTGTCTCCGGACAGCGCTGGCCCTCGGCCTCTTAAGTGAGATGGGCGCACAACCCTAGAGTCGGACACGACTGGCCCGTACGGGCAGGGGTACCTTTACCTTTACTTTACCTCTGTCTTAAATCCTGCACTAGAAAGACTGTGAGTCTGACACAGGAGTGAGGGGTGAGGCTGCATGCTATTATGACACTGTTCCTACCAGGTAAAATGGCAGTGACAACAGCAGCTGTGGCAGCTGACTTTTCTTGTAAATGGTTTGCAAATGCTGTCAGGCATAAATAACAGCAGCAGCCCACTGTGAACTGCATATAGAAGATCTATCTTCTCCAGTGTCATTTTATACTACTTCACTTGAGATCTATTGCCTGCAGAATTCTGGAGACTGGGCACAGCAATACATTATGAGCACGGACAAAACCAGCTGGTGTACAATCAAAGAAATAAAACCTAGCAAATTTTTTAAAATGCCACAGTCCCCTTACTGTCAGTGGCTAAACCCCCTGCATCTGCTATACATTTTGGAAAGTTGTTTGTTCGCTATGTGTTTGGACTTTGAGTGATAATGTTTCAGTCCTTTTAAAAAATATAATGCTTTAGATCATCATAACAAATATTGTCGTTTTCAGGAATAGCCATGGTGCATTCCTGCTACGATCCCTTTGTTCTAGTTAGCATGAGAGCAGCTTTCCTTATGTTTGACTGAAGAACTAATGGGAATGTGAGGGATGTTTTCAGTTTTGCAAGCTGGAAACCTCATCAACAAAAACTCTGTTTTTAAATGTCAGCTGAGACTACAGACAAGGCTTGGTTTTTTAAAAATATAGGTAATATAAATCCAGTAAATGGAATCAAAGCAGACAATAGAGGTCTGGCAAAGCATCCATAGACTATATATAGATTTAGGCTGGCGAGTGAGTAGTTCGCAGAAACCCACCCACTGAGACGGCCTCCTTTGCTGTGATGATTTGGAAGCACAGGGATCCTATATGATGTCCTGTTCACTTTAGAACAAGCAGGGTTTAGTTGCTAAACTCCTGTCTGGAGGGGTGCAGATCCCTGTGGCATAATCTACGCCGCCTAAGTGCCAGGGATGTTGGTATCTGACATGGTGTGGGTGGAAGAGGGAAAGTGTGCTGCTGCAGAGACAGGGCTTGCAGTTGTCAGAAATGAGCTCTTCACACTCTTTAAAGCAGCAAGTTTCACTGTAGTCAATGAAATCAATTACTGAGTGGGAGATGGAAGAAATATGTAGAGGAACCATGGGCGCAAACAAATAAAAAGAGAGAAAAAATCTTTTATAAGAAAGCATTTCCCCCCATTTGATTTCTCACACGTCTCATTCAAAGCCCTTGGTCGGAATAATAATCTTTAGAAACCAGCAGTAAGAATATTGCGGGAGGGGGTCCGCTGATACTTCCAATGTATTCTTGCTCCTGTTTCCACAGCCTCTTCACAGCCTTTATCCACCAATCAGCTGTTGCCTTGCCATTTAAAAAACTTGGGGCTGCTTCTTGCTCCATTATAGCATCCAGCCCTGTTGAGAAATTGCACAGCAAACATGAAGACATCCTGGAAATGTGGATTCCAGCCACAGGTGCCAACTTAAATGAAATATTGGGGGAGGGCGCTGTGGCGATCACACAGGGTCCCTGGACGTTTCACTGCCTGTTGATCCCTGTGCCACCACTTTATTTCTCGCTGCCACTACCCAGGCCCTACCTTCTACAATACTGAGTCCAATCAGGGTTAAATTGGAACATAAACTTCGGTTTATTTATTGCAGTTTAACAAGCGCGTGGTTTCATAAACGGTATCGGTCCATTACAATCATGGGTTGCCTATCCAGACCTATAACTTCCGCTGCCTGCTCTCACTCACTAAACCACCTCTCAGATATTTACTTGTCTTCCTAGTTCCTAACTGTTCCTGACTCGGCTTACACTAACTCAACCTACCCCCAAACTCTATCCCAATTCACTCCCACTCCAACCAACCACCCAACTCCCAACGAATTCCTCCCTTCGCCCCTCCCAGAGCTGGTTTTATAGTCCCTCTGACTCCACCCCCTGGGTTCTGATTGGGTAACCTGTTTAACTATTTCACCTCCAGCACTCTCATATGTTAACATCACAGGGGCAGGTAAGGCCTGCCCCGCATCACCAATCACAAGATGCAGTGCACACACACCATTTGAAAGGCAATGCCCCTAAACTTTGGGGGGCTCTGGCCCCCTCAAATCTTTTATTGGGGGCCCAAAGGAATCTCCATCCCTATTAGTTTGCACCTATGATTCCAGCTGACTGAGCTCCCATGATGATGGTAGTGAGAGCTATGAAGGGGTATTGCCCTGATTGTGAAGTCTTAACCCAATATGAGTCACATAAAATTGCAGTTTGGGCCAACACACTCTATTTTGCAGTGGTTACACTGTGGTGGATTCATTCCTCCCCCCCCCCCCCGGAGCATTATCCTGGTTGCCAAGGAAACAGGGATGGATGCAGCCCCCTAAATGCAGCCCCCCAAATGGTGGCAATTTTGAGAGGTATGAAAATGCTTCCTTCAGTTCAAGTGGTCTCCAAGACGTCCTCAGGGTCATGGGGACAGTGACACACCACCATCCCTTCTGCACATGACTGGATTGGGTTGCGGAATCTTATTCCATCTGCTTCAATCCACTTCAGAGTTGGGGCAAAGCCAAAGCAATCACTCTGCTCTTTACCCAATGTACACAGGGTTTTCTGTTCACCTCTAGCATGGAAGCTCTAAATTTTCCAAGCCTATAGGGTGACACGCAGCAGCAGCAATGAAGGTAATGGCCGCATCTGTTAGGACATCACTTCCAATGCCTCAATAAGTCTTGCTTCACTGTGTGAAAAAAAATTGAAGCCCAGAAACCCGGCACTTCTGGATATTAGCAGCTCTTATAATTGCTGTAAGTCACACATAAAAAAAACCCCTTTTTTGGCCCCAATTGCTAATTGCTGCTTCTGTAGAAATCTGCTCTTTCAAAAGAAGGCCACAGACATTGTGACATTTTTCACACCTGTAATATAGCACATGGAAGAATGTCTTTTTATTGATTCTGTCTCCTTGGTTTCATAAATCATTTCCCCATTCTTTGTTTCAATTGCAGCTGATTGCACTGTGGAAGAGGCAAGCATTACACAGCTTGTCTCTTTAACACATATCATAAATGTTTAATAAATCTCTGTCTCATATAAGCATTTTCCATGTCACATGGATTTAAAATGTCACATGGATTCTGGGAGCATCTTAAAAGGCAAGAGGGATTACAGGTGGTATAGTTAAAGTGCCACTATTGCTTTTTATAGTATCCATCCAAAGTGAAAAAAGTCCAAAATGAAACAACTGTCCTAGGTTTTAATAATCCACATTATTAATTCTGGTGAAAGGAATTAAGTTCTTCATTGTTAGCCCTACCTAAAGCCCTGTGATTAGTAGGCTTCTATTAAAGAGTTGCTACATTTTTAACGTGAATAACTTAGAAGCATCACTAGGGAGCAAGAAGGAATATTGATGGTTAAAGTGCAGCTATTTCTTTGCTCAGCTTCCAACATCTGTCTGAAGTGCGCGCTGTTTTCTGCCTTTGAGGACTGCCTCAAGTCTCAGAAGGGATGGGAGTGGAAATTATTATTAAGTCTTGATACAGTATTTAATCCCTTTCCTATGACCTCAATTAATAACTAACTTAACCTTTTCATAGAGAAAGCTAAATTACATTTTCTAAGTTCAGGTTATTCCACGTACCATTTTATTGCCTCCTACATAATTAAAAGCCAAAGCAGCAGAACTTGACTGACATTACTCTTAAACATGACTATGGAACAAAAACCTTTTGACCAACTAACCCTACCGGAGTAAAATTCATGAATCAAATCCAGCGGACAGGATAGTGGGGTCAGCTGTATCAGCAGGGCAAATGATCAGGATTGAAGGAAGCTGTAGTCCAAAACATCTAGAAGGCACCAGTTTGGGGGAAAGCATCTAATAGGTCTGACCCTCTCTCCTGAACATTTGCTACATTTCCTTAAAATGGGACTATGTAACCCAGTGCTAAATCAGGTGACATCAGCACATATGTATGGCATGCTGCATGTATATGTAAATAATTTGTCAGATGCAGGTTAGCACACAAGATGCAGAGTTCATTGGTGTCCCACCACCAAGCCCTAGGCTCTGAGCCTTCCTCTTCTGGGGCTTCCCTTGGGGGTCCCCAGCTGGTACCTCCCACCACTCCTTGTCATCTAGTCAGTCCCTAACAATAGTACTGGGATGTCCAACTCCCGATAGACTGCGATCTACTCGTAGTATAAAAAAAAACTGGCAGTGATAAGTTGTTGAGCTTTTTTGGGAAAGGGAAAGTTGTTGAGCCACAGTTGTTTTTCCCCTTTTTTTGGGTTGGGGGAGGAGATAACTGAGGGGCCAAAGATGTACCAGGATCTACCAGGAACACCCCGTGATGTACCAGTAGGACATGCCTGGTATACAGGAATAATCAGCGTACCTAGAAATCTGTCTTATACCAAGTCAGATAATTGATTCTTCTATTTCAATTTTGATTTCTTGGAATGGCAGTGGCCTACCAGGGCTTCAGGCAGGACAGCCCGACCTGGATATGCCAGGGATTGAACCTGAGACCTTTTGCCTACAAAGCATGTGACTGCACTTCCTGAACTATGGCCATTCCTGACGTGCAGACTTCATTTGCTATACCCTAGCAACATGGCGACATCATGAGCCAGCATCTAATTTTGCATCATCCCTGACACAAACAACACTTTATTCATTGCATTATACCACTGCAGGGATTTTCTGTACCAAAAGAACTGGCAAGTGCTTTTGAACCAAACAGCATTTGCTTTCATAAAGGCAACCCAAGCTTTGGGTGATAAATGCAGTCCCCTGCAAAAGGGTGGTTTTGTCAAACATCATAAACATTTAATTGCAGGAAGGTGTTCCTTTTCTTCCCTTGCTTGTGGGCTTTCCAGAGGCATTTGTCTGGCAAATGATGGAAATGGGATGCAGAACTATAGAGAACCTTTTGTCTGATCCAGCAGGCCTCTTTTAATGTTCTGAAACTTTGGCACAGCCCTAACGTTCCTAATGTTTATCCACCCCCTTCCCCATTTGTACAGTGCATAGTATAGTATGTTGTCTATAAACACAGATGCTGCTTCTATAGCAATGTCTGAAAAATAACTGATGATCTGCATTAAATTTTGATTACGTGTACATCACTTTAAAGCAAATACGGTCCCGGTGCATCTGCAGCAATTTAGGGTTGTTTACAGCTTGTCGGTAATTTCCCTTTTCACCTGGCTCTCATCCCTTGAGTTTAGGAGAAGCTAGAAATCTGAACACGTGTTGATTGATGTCAAACTACAAATATTATTAGCAGCCTAACGGGGGTTTGCCCAGCTGGAATTTGGATATTAGTCATTTCAATTTTTCACTTGTAATTAGGCAATTTCATCAAAGGGAGACTTTAAAAAAATGCAGTCAACATATCATCATCTTCAGTGTGTATATTTGATGCCACATTTTCAGTGTGTATACCCTGCCACACTCATCAAAAATGTGTGATGCTGTCATTTGGCCTTGAAAGCAACGTTTTTTTTTTACACAGACCAAAGTTAAACACTGTTCCAGCCAAACTTTATTTTCTTCATTGTTCAGCCATTCTTTGCTGAACTATTAATATTTTATGATAAACCATCTGTGGCCAGATGAGATGCAATGATGGAGATTATTTATATTGGCTTTTATCTTTGATCTGGAGTACATTTTGACATAGGGCTCAACAAGAAAATGGAAGTTCACGATTAGATCTTCAAATGCTTTTTTTTTTTTATTAAGCTAGCAAATTAAAATAAGGCTATGACACTGTGGGAGGAGGGTTACACTCCCCCCCCCAAGCTATTTCCATGGCACAAGTTCCCAACTGAAGCCATTAGTTTTAACTAATGGGACAAATAACAGGTTGGAAGATATTTCATCAGGACAAGGGCACAGAGGTGAAGAATGAATTCTTCAGCATTAGTCCTAATCTAATATTTATCCAGGGTGACCCAGTGGCCTAATGGATAAGGCATCAGCCTCCGGAGCTGGGGATTGTGGGTTCGAGTCCCATCTGGGTCGTTCCTCGTGGGGTTGCGGGTGGCGCTGTGGGTAAAACCTCAGTGCCTAGGACTTGCTGATCATAAGGTTGGCAGTTTGAATCCCCGTGATGGGGTGAGCTCCCGTCGTTCAGTCCCAGCTCCTGCCCACCTAGCAGTTTGAAAGCACCCTTAAGTGCAAGTAGATAAATAGGTACCGCTTTATAGTGGGAAGGTAAACGGCGTTTCCGTGTGCTGCGCTGGTGCTGGCTCGCCAGATGCAGCTTAGTCATGCTGGCCATGTGACCCGGAAGTGTCTCCAGACAGCGCTGGCTCCCGGCCTCTTGAGTGAGATGAGCGCGCAACCCTAGAGTCGGACACGACTGGCCCGTATGGGCAGGGGTACCTTTACCTTTAATATTTATCCAACTCTATGGCTACTTTTAACAAAACAAAACAAAAAGAGAGATAGGAAATGATTTCAAAAGGCATGCAAATGTGAAATTTAGCTGGCTTATATACCAGAATTTGTAAAATAAAAAAAATCAGAACACTTTACAGCAACTATCCTTAAAACCACACAACAAACACAAAATAAAGATTCAAAATCAGAGATTGACTGCTTATTGCAGAAGGATATTTTCTTAGTTGCCAGCAGAAGCTTGGCAGCAATGGAAGGAAGTCTCATTGAAGTCATCAAGACTTTGTTCTGCATAAGATGCACTGTGCCTGGTGGAAAAATAAAATGTGAGATTGCAACAAGGCATGAAAAGAGTAAGATCGTTCTCGTTCTATTGAGTCACTGCACCAGCATTCGCCAAACAGATGTCTTCTAGGCATTTTGAACTGCAACTCCCATAGTCCCTGATCATGGGTCACACTGGCTGGAGCTGTAGTCCAAGAGGACACCAGATTGGGGAAGCCTGCCCATCACAAACTTTAGCAGCACCTTGGTAGCTAGAGAACTACTTTCAACAAGAAACCAAAGTCCCAGATGGTGTGCTACCAGGATCAGTTTCCACTGATGCTATTCAACCTGCCTCTGGTGTTGACAGGGCAAGTGGCAAGCTCCATGGAATCAGATTTGACCTAGAAGTCACCGGTTGTGGACTGCTACCGAGCATCTTGCATAGACAATTTGATCCAATCAGAGATCCGAGCTGCTCTTTAACGTCCCCCATGAGCCCACACTCTAGAACTATGTCAGTGAGATGGTTCCTCTGCTTGTAGTAGGCATATTCGAACTCCCTTGAAAGTAAGCAAGATTCCCAAGTGCAGTTTGTTAAATGTGAACCCGTATTTGCTTGTCGTGACTGAACATCACTACTTTGGATAATAGGGTACAAATAACCCATTTCTCAGTGAATATGGCAAGATGGCTGATTTATCTTCTCAGAGCCTGAGGAACTGGAACTAATTCTTAATTAGCAAAGATGGACCACTCAAATATCAAGCCAAAAGCAATACTAGGTTTATGATTTGAATGCTTTGTCCAAAGACATAATTAGCAAAATTACTGTAGCACATTTCAGTTTTCTCTTTCTTGACTGCTACAAGCAGCTGGTTTCTTTATCCCGTTCAAGTGATTTACCACCAGCAGAAATGCAGCTTTTAAAAAACATATGTATCAGTTTTGCCTAGGCTTCTCCTAACCCATAGGATCAGATTCTGTTTTGTGTGCTTGGATTTTTGGGAGGGTGGAGGGGGTTTGTTTTATTATTAGGTTACTATTTTGTTGTTTTAAGTTGCATTTTTGTTTTACTGATTTGTGTTAGTATCACATTCCCTGCTGTGACTGCAGTTTTGAAGTGACCTCTCTGGGGTGCAAGCCTGGGCAGTGTGTATGGAGGTCTTGGACTGCCTAGATGACATAAACCCCCTTCTTGGCCTTGCTGATGTGGTCCAAAGGAAAGCAGAGCACTACGTTTGCCACCAGCTTGGCTGCAGGAGTTGCCAGAAGGAGGCGTACAAGGTGTTATCTAACTGTCTCAGGGACTTCACTCTGGATTTGTTCAGCGTTTGCTCCCAAAATATCCTGCAAACCAGTGGGTTCAAATTTTTCTTCGGGGTTTACTCCCCAAGCCTTTCTCACAAATGAGTATAGCTGCAAGGCAGCTGAGGCTTAGGGTCAGAGTTTTCCTTCCCCTAGATGGGCTGGTTTGGCAGGTTAAGATGAAAAACTCCACATTTCCATCCCCTGGCCCTTTCCCTGATTTCAGACCAACTTCCTTAGCCTGGAAATTTCAGCCAACATGAATCCTTATGAGATCAATACATTTTGGGTACATTGTTCTGCTTTTGTGAACAGAATTTCAAATGCTTAAAAAAATATGAAGTTATCATATAGTTGAGTAAGCCAGAATCTAATTTCCATTAGTATTCGTTTTGGGAAGGCTGTTACATTTAGACACAAAAACCGACAGCTCTTTCAGGCACTTGACCATCATTTGCAAATGTCAGCGAATGCCCACATTCATTTTTCTCATCTGATAAGGCTCGGTTAAAAGCTTTAACGAGCAATGATACATTCCTACAGTGGGAGAACTCAATTAGAATAATGGAATTTGTGGCCAAAGTAGTGACAGTGAAAACTAGTCACAATGTTAATGGGATTCTAGTACCAAGAGTGTGGAAAATGTAAATTGCACAAGTTGCCCAAAGTTAGTGCTTACAAAATAAGGGGCCATCGTCAATGATAGTCATACTTAGAGTAGGCCCATTTGAATGCACTCATGTTACCTACATCCATTGGGTTGAGGCTGAATCATGCTGGGTGTCACTCAATGATGTCATCCCCCCCATGATAAACAAATGGTTGTTCTTTAAAAATAGAATAAAATAATAACATAGCTTCAGAAGAAAGCCATCTCTCAGGTGGTTAAGCTTAACTCTGGGGTGAGGACTCTGCAACCCTACAAATGTTGGAGTTCACCTCCCATCAGCCAGCACGACAGCGGTTAGGAATGGTAACAGTTGTAGTCAAGTAATATTTGGAAGACTACGGCTTCCCTTGCCCTTAATCCAGCTGTTTATTGCACATTTGCAAATATGCTTCTGCTCTTTTCACTGCTCCTGTGTTAGAGAGCTCATCTACATATCCCCTTCACAGCGCTGAATGGGTTACAGCCCCAACAATCTCAATCTGCTCTCAGCAACCTCCACCTGCCAGCATGCTTGCTTACATCCAGTCCAGGGGGTCACACCGCTTGTCTGCTTCCTATTCCTTGGACTGCATACACACCATACATTTAAAGCACATGACTTTCCCCAAAGAATCCCGGGCGCTGTAGTTTGTTCTGTGTGCTGGGAATTGTAGCTCTGTGAGGGGTAAGCTACAGTTCTCATTATTTCTTTGTGGGAACTTGTGGGCTTTAAATGTACGGTGTATTCCTTTGTAGAACTCAACAGGAGGCATTTAAAGTCGGGCCTTTGAACAGGGAATGATATATACGCATTGGGATGGAAAATAGAAAATGATTTTACCCATAAGAAAATTGCATATCTGATTTTGCACATGAATGTCCTGAAAATGTGATGTCCCTTTTCAGTGATGTGCAACTATTATACAGGGCCCTGTCATTAAACACAGAAAATTCAGAATGTAAAAAGAGCCTGCAGGATCAGGCCAATGGCTGGACAGTTGCTTGTGGGAAACCAGCAAGCAAGAGTGCTCTCCCCTCCTGTGGCTTCTAGCAACTGGTACAGTGGTACCTTGGGTTACAGACGCTTCAGGTTACAGACGCTTCAGGTTACAGACTCCGCTAACCCAGAAATAGTACCTCGGGTTAAGAACTTTACCTCAGGATGAGAACAGAAATCACGCAGTGGCAGTGGGAGGCCCCATTTGCTAAAGTGGTACCTCAGGTTAAGAACAGTTTCAGGTTAAGAATGGACCTCCAGAACGAATTAATTTCTTAAGCCGAGGTACCACTATATTCAGAAGCTTTACTACCTCCAATGATGGAGGTAGAGCATCACCCTTGTGGCTGGTAGCCTTTGATAGCCCTCTCCACCATGAATTAGTCTAATCCTGTTTTAAAACCTTCCAGGTTGGTGGATTCATGGCCACCACTGCTTCCTGCAGGAGTGAGTTCCATAATTTAACTGCGTTGCGTGAAAAGGTACTTTCTTTTATCCACCCGGAATCTTCCAACACTTGGCTTCACTGAATGTCCATGACTTATTGTGAGAGAAGAAGAAAAACTTTTCTCTATCCACATTTTCCATGCCATACCTCATTTTATAAACTTCTATCAGGCTACCTCTTACTCGCCTTTTCCCTAAACTAAAAAGTTCCAAATGTCGCAAAATTTCTTCATCCCCTTGATCATTTTGGTTGCTTTTTCCCAAAACTTTTCCAACTCCATAATATCCTTCTTGAGGGCTGGACATCCCTTGTGATTTTTATTCTTTTTTTTTTTCTTTCAGAAAGGCAAGGGAAGTTGGCTGTTAATAAAGTACTGGATTTTCTATTAAGTTATGAAATAAGTTGCTGTGTGCTTGCAATCCGCTACAGAGGCTCTTCATAGAACTCTTCAGAACAAATATCTTATACATATTTAGTATGTCCCTGCCATTCTGTGGAGAACAATTTCCTTGCATTAAAAAGAAAGCAGTTGCTATTTCCTCAGCTCTCTCTTAAGTCTTCCCTCATGATGAAGTTGAAGAGTTCTGGTGGCAGCTGGCACTGAAGTAGGCTATTTTATGTTCCCTCTTAAGCTGTAAATGAAACTCAGTGGAGAATTAGTTAGAAAATTGATGCTTTTTTAAAATACCCCCCTCCCTCCCCAATGGAATGAAAAACAGAGAATGACCTGGGAAGTGCTTCAAAAGCTGCTTATCCTGTTTTAAGCTAATAATGAAGATGTTCTAATGAATCCATCAGTGCTTCTTCGTGGGGCAGGTGGGCTGGGTAGGCTGCTTTTCAGAGCAACCTCCTCCACATACCTGAAATAAAGACTTGACAATGTGAGAGTGAGGCTGCAAAACTATGAAAGTGCTAGAGGCTTTCAGATTCCTGGCTTTATCTTTGTAATCTCCACCAGGATTATTACCTTCTTTTGTTCAATCATTCCATTGCAATTTCACTTCGGTTTGTAAAACCTGGCTTTTCAGACCTTGCTTGGCATAAGAGGCAACTGTTCATGCATTCCTTTTATTCAACACTTCAATAATTCAAAGGCACACACCTGTTTATCTCTAGTAGAGGAAGATTGAGTTTCTCTTTGAAGATTTAAGTTTTCCATTAAAAAATAAATAAATTATAGAAACTCTGAGAAATGAAGTAGAAAAGAAGAGCTGAATGATGTAAGAGAAGGCCAGCCATTTTTACCCAACCAGCTATAGCTTTCTTATTTTATTTTTTTCTAAAAAAAGATCCTTACTTTATACCAGGGACAGATTCTTTCCTGTTCTTAGAGGCCACTATATTCTGCACATGACATTAGTCCAAGTACAGTGGTACCTCGGGTTACAGACGCTTCAGGTTACAGACTCTGCTAACCCAGAAATATTACCTCGGGTTAAGTACTTTACTTCAGGATGAGAACAGAAATTGCACGGCGGCGGCAGCGGGAGGCCCCATTAGCTAAAATGGTGCTTCAGGTTAAGAACAGTTTCAGGTTAAGAACGGGCCTCTGGAACAAATTAAGTTCTTAACCCGAGGTACCACAGTCCTTCAAAGTCTAGCCCTAAAGATAGAACTTCATCATACAGTGCATAGTGGCACTATGGAATTCCCTTCACAGGATGGAGTCACCAATTTAGATGGCTTTAAAAGAGGATTTGGCAAATTCATGAAGGATACAGTTGTCAATAGCTACTAGCCACAGTGGTTATGGTCTCTCTCTCTCTCCATTGTCAGAGGCAGCATGTCTCCGAATGCCAATTGCTGGCTCCTCAAGAGATAAGTTGTCCACAGTCCTCTGCCTTTCCATCATATCAGGGGCGTGGAACTGCTGACCTGTGGGCTGGATGTGGCTCGAGGCAGCTCCCAATTCAGGCCATGACCTCTCCTTGTTAGCCCCACCCTGAAGGAATCCACTAGGGAGCAGCTGATTCCCTCATCATGCTGAAACATGTGGTTTATATGAAAGAGTCATTTCAGGCAGCTCTCAGCCACCATAGCTGGTGATGTAAGGTGGGTGCAAGGCAGGTGACTCAATGTAGAGTGGGACTGGGCAGACGAAATCAAATCACAGGGATGGCATTAAGTGTGGCTTCATCATGCTGTGCAAATGCACCAATATTATGAATCAGGAGATAACTTCCAGAAAAGAGACAATCTTCTTTTTATGATCACTTCCTTGAGAAGGCTCATAAATATTCAACTGGTTCCTAATAGAGCCACAAGACATTCAACCACCACTATTTGTTTGCACTGCAGTCTAAGCCTCTCTAGGTTATACAAAAATTGTTAGGAAGAAATGTGCAGAACTTTAAATCAAATTAAGTAAAAAAACATTGTTTGATTAATAGCACTCAATGATGCTTTAACTACAACTTTTCCCCCAGATAAATTATGCAGCAGCATAAATCTTAAGGAATCACACTTTGGTTCTGCTTCTGAATAATGCAGTTGACAATTTCTCAGCAATCCACTCAGACTACAGTTTGTGGATTATTAGGTAACTTTTCTGTTAATATGCTGAGTGGCAATTTTTCTCCATTGCTCAGAATGCTTCCAAAAATTCATAGACTTTTGCCTATGTCTTTTATCAGTGCTAAAATCAGCTGCCTGCATTTTACATATTATTCCAAGGATGATCATATTATGCACAATAAAAAGGAAGAAATCTGTATTTTGGTGGCTAGGGCTTGGTTCCAAAGATCTTCCTGCATGAGTGGAAGGTGCTTTTGCTTCCACACAGGGCTTGTTTTTACAGGGTGTGTGTGGAATGTGTCTCTGTCTTTTGGCCTCCCTTTTAGCAACTTTGAAAGCTAAACTAGCCAGCATGGAACCATTGATCCAGATCAGGATCTTGACATGGGGATTAGAGACTTTAATCCTTTCTCCCTGCTGCAGCCCCAAACCAGATTGAGTTTGCACACCAGCAATTTGCATAGTAACAAAAGCTCTACAATGGGAGCTTTTCTTCCAGTTGCAAATTGCCAACCCTGGATATAGCAGGGACAAAGTGTTAAAGTCCTCTCATCTTCATACTATGGTCCCAACCTGGATCAACTCAGCAACAGAGCTATGGAGCTGCTGTATACCTTAGGCCTGAGAAGGGCCATAGCTCAGTGGCAGAGCTCATGCTTTGAATGCAGAAGATCTGAGGCTCCATCTCCAACATCTCCAGGTAGGGCTGGGGTATGGATGAACTGTAGATGTTTAGGTAACACAGCTACAGATGAGCCAACAGTCTGATTCGGTATATCCTCCAAACTCCTACCTGACTGGTAGTGCACAGTGGATTTTTGCAATTCACAAAGCGAAGACCAGGTTCAATGATATCAGCGTTCAAAACTATCAGGATTCAGTTCTCTGACATTTTCTTTTCACCTTGGCTAAATCAAAGTAGATGGAATCATACTTGTGAAAAGCATTTGCTGTGCACAAAGGACAGCTGTCATAGCTCATAGATTTCAACTGATAGTGGCAAACTCAAAGGGAAGGGATACTAATAACTGGGTATGAGAATGGAATTTGTACTTGCAGTATCGTGGAAACTGAGGATCTTCATCGTTATTCAAAACACAATCCTCTTAGCTATCCAACTAGAGGAATGCCATTGGCCCCAGTCCTTACTGTAATGCAGTTTTGGGCAGTTGCACACAGATTGTTTGCATTCTTGATGTTTTCTGTCAACAAGAGTGACATGAGGAAGCTGGGTACTTTAGCTAATATTCACCAGAACCTTTTGAAAATAATCACAGTGCCTTCCGCAGGCGATTAATTTTAATACAGCACTGCAAAAAAAAGGGCTTTTGATTGAGATTTTTTTTTTTACCGAGACTTTTCTAGTTTAATGTTATTCTGCAATGTTTTGCCAAGTGATAAAAACATTTTTAAAAAGTCCCTCTGGCACTTTAAACCTGCCTTTCAGGTGGTAGAGAAGCCATAGTACTCTGTATCCCTGTCATAGCTACACTTTAACATGTACAAACATGAATTATGGAATGTCCTTCTCTTTTTCTAAGTGGGAATGATTATGTGATGCATGAGCTGCATAGTACTTTATCACATCTTTCACTGTAGCCACGGCAGAGGCACAGAGCTGGTCACACTCCTCTACCATGCAAAATAAGGGTCCATTCAGGTAAGCTGACAGACTGGCCTTCTGCAATGCTTGAGGTGCTACATAGGCAATCAGGTTCCAATATTGGTCACATCCACACCGTACATTGAAAGGACACTGAATGCACATAGCTTCCTTCAAGGAATTTTGGGAACTATAGTTAGTCAAGGGTGCTTGGGGTTGTAGTTCTGTGAGGGATAAACAACTCCTGCCCGGAAACCAATGTCCCCACTGTGGAAGGACGTGTGGATCCAGAATTGGCCTCCACAGTCACTTACGGACTCATTGTTAAAACTGTGTTTATGGAAGACAGTCTTACTCGGCTATGAGTGATAACCAAAGAAGAAGAAGAAGACTGTTCCTAGGATTCTTGGGTGGGGGGAGCAATGTGCTTTAAATATACAGTGCGGATGTGACCATCTACTCGTTTAGAAACACAAAAGCAGATGAATATTCACTAAGCCCATTATTTTGGCTTTCAGATTTCACTTTCACACTTGTTAATGAATTAGGCTTTCTACTGTAACACTACAACATATTTTTTTATTTTAAAATTATGGTGGATTTTTAAGAGCTGTTTAATTACTCACTGTGGCCACCTAAATCACTGACAAACATGATTTTGGAACAAGCTTGTTATCGTCAGCTTCTTGCGGCTGATAAGCATTTTGTGCAAGGTTCTCCCCCCACCCCGTTCTAAGCTTTCTGCCAACCCATTCCCCTGCCCTTTTGGTGTTAAACAAAGACATTATCTTCATTTTCATGCAAGCTTAGACTTTGTTTCAACAGAAATTTAAATCAGGCATTTAACCTTCTCTTTGCTTATCTGGGTTGGCGCTGGCATTTCCATTAAGCTAAAGCGAGCATCAGTGGCCTGACACTTGACATTATTTCACTGGAGAGGATGTCGTGAATGATGCCACTATATACCCTTATCACTGAAAGTGAGACCTGTGAGACAGCTGGGTCATAAATGTACCATAGAAGTGGTGCCCTCAATAGGATGCTGCTTATTGTTCTCCTTCCCTTAATAAGGGACTGTATAGTCTAGGTTGCACTTGAATTAGCACTTCCATTTAACCTCTGGACTGCAGCAATTAACAACAGCCTTAGCAGGGGGAAATGGTGATGTGAAGATCAGTGTCTGCATTCAAATCAAATCTCTGTAAATGCAAATGCCAGGGCAATAAGGAAATGACTGCCTCCCCAAAATGGATTAGTACCCTGAGCTTGTTCACCGATTCAGCATCGAACAGCAGGTTTTCCCAGGGAAGGCTTCAGGATGAGCAAAAAACCACTCATAACTGAGCCAAGAAAGCATGGGACAACCTATCAGACCCATGCTTCCTAGGTACAAAAGATGTGGAAGCATGGACAAGCCCCTTTAAGCTGGGACTTGGGGCTGCACATATCTTAGTAGGACAAGGATGGAGAATCTTTGGTCCAGCTGCAGCTGATGTGACTAGGCCAATAACATCTAGAGGGCCACAAGCTCCCCATCCCTGCTGTAGAGAATGGGGGGAAATGCACTTAGATGTTCCTTTTTCACTATTTACTCTCATCAAAGCTCTGTACCAAGGTTCATCATTGGGATGCCAGTCTCTGCTTCTGTTTGCATCTACAATGTTGCCACATAAGTGGATCCAATGATACTCCTAGAAATAAATGGGGCTTCCAATAAAAAGCCCACAAATACAGGCAAAGATGGGTACCTTATTTGCCAAGATTTAGAATATCACATGGCAAGGCTGAAAAACAAAATTAAACTGTAAACGTTGTGCTCTACATATTGATTAATTTTTCCCTTGCGTACATTTCATTTGATATAAAATATAAGAGAAGTCCCATTTGAAGTTCCTAGGAGTCCTAAGGTTCATTAAACCTAGACTATAAAAGTAATTACCACAGCATATTTCTCTTTTTCAGTCTCCTGATCATCTTTAGTATTAGATATGTGCCATTCTTCTACAACTACCGAAAGCTTTCCAAGTTCCAAATAAATTATGACATTCCAACAAACAATGTGTTTTAAAGGTCTGTGCAGACGAACTGGTGAGTCTTGCTACTAAGAAAAGGGTTAATGGCTACCCACTTGGTGTGATGTTCATTTAGCGCCAACAGTAAAGAAAGAGAGTCCATTGGTGTTTAAAAAACCAAGGTCCAAATTGTAACAGCCTTCTCCAACCCGGTGCATTCTAAATGTTTTGGACTCCTGTCAGCCCAGCCAGCTGAAAAAGGAAAAAAGAAAGCATAAATTCCACCTGCAGCTTAACCTGACTTGGAAGTTGCTATTCTTCAGCAAAATAACTTGAAAGGAAGATTCCACCATGAAACAGGAGCATCATCGGAAAGCAAGAGACCCACTGGCCCTATTCAGTGGCCAAAGAAGGAACAGCTGCTTCTTCCTTCCTTGCCAGAAGGAACACTTTATTCCAGTTTCCAGTTGCCCTGTGTGGCGTTTGCCCTCCTAGGTGGGGGGTGGATCATAAGGAAAGGGTTAAATGAGTGGGAAGTGATTGGCCAGTGGGAACCCCAGGGGAGGAGTTAGAGTTAGAGTTAGAGTTAGAGTTGGAGTTGTTTGGAAGTCAGTCAGTTGAGAGTTGGAGAAGGAAGAGGGAGGATAAGTCTGTGGGTTGGTTGAGTTGTGTTGTGAGAGAGTGAGAGAAACTGTTAGGAGGAGTCAGATAGACAGTTGGGATAATCAGTTTGAAGTTATTAGGAAGGTATAGGCCGGTATAGAAACTAAGGATAAGAAAATGACAAGAAAAATTATCTGAAACCATAAACTTGTTCATGCTTATAAAATAAACTTGATTATTTGTTTTAATGTTAACAACTGTCTGGACTCAGTGTGTACCCGAGAGAAACGGGTTGGTGGCAGCAGGGAAGTGATCATAGTGGTGGCACAGGGATCAATAGACTGTCAAACGTCTGGGGACCCTGTGTGATCGCCACACCCTGGACCTGCAGAGCTGAATCTGGCCTCTGCCCCTTACCCAACAGCAAGACCGCTTGGAGCAGGGACAGTACATCCCATTTTACCCTGTCTTGCTCCTTTATCCCCCACCCAAAAAAACTCCCTTACATGGGTTGTGTGGTAGCACCTGCAAAGCAGCAGTGGTGACAGCAAGTTCTGGTGAGAACTCATGAGATCTCCTGCTTTCTGCAAGATCTGGAGAGATTTTGGCTGTGGGGTGAGCAAGGCGCCCATAATGGTGCTGCTTCTTGGGTTTCTGCCGCCCAAGCATGAGAGTCTGCACTCCCTGCTCTCCATGACAAAAAAATGAGGACAAGGAGGAAAAACCTGGTCCTACCCATTGGCTATTGAAGAAGCAGCTGCTTCTATGCTTATTTTCCTCCCCCCTCCCTTCATTTCTTTCTTTTGTAACATGCCATTTAGATGTTAATAGCAATATAAGTACCTGCCTTGTGTGTGTGGTTGGTAAACACCACCCCCCAATCCCACAGCTTGCCAAATACATACTTGCCAAACAAGGAAACAGATTATGTATCTGATGCAAGAAACGCTAGTCAATGAAAACTTGTGCCATAATGAATCTTGGCTATATCTGAATCAGTTTTAGGGTTCTGCTGCAGTTCAACTCTCTACTCCTAGTGTGTGTCAAATATCTGCTGCTTTAGTTTGGCAGCAGGCAACTAATTCCCAGTTCTGCAATTTCTTATCATGGTGCCATCTGGATTTCAGCATGTTAGTAGCCTTTATTAGCTTCTGCCTTGCCTGCAGTGGTGTGTGAGGGGAAGTCATGCCTTTCCCACTGACAGAAATGTTCCTGCTTTCCTTCTCAATGCTCAGCCTGAACAATAGTGCCTGTCACACAACTAATGTGCTGACTTGGAAAATTTAGCCTGTTCTGGAAGCTAGAGCGTACACTGCAACGTTCTGCAGTGTTGAAATGGTTTGTGCCAGTAATTTGCAAGATTTACTGTTGTCAAATGGAGGGAATGCTACAATGTTGACTTGTGCGAATTGCCAAACTGATAAAAACCGTACGTTGTGGGGTCTGAAATGCGCTTGGCAGTCATTGACTCCACGTACTTTGTGGCTGTTGTAAGGGCAAATGCAAAATGAACATTTCTTGTTGAACAAACAAATCGAACCTGCAGTAAAATGTTGAAGTATTTATTTATGTAGGGCATTCTGCTTTTCCAGACACTGCCTGCGTATACCAACCCTCCACATGCCTTAACAAGATTCCAAATAGCCAGTTATGCCATCTTCTGTTTATTGCATATTTATAGACTGCACTTGTTATGAAAAAAAACATCAAAGCGGTATACATCATACAAAACTGTAACAGCATCAGTATGCATGTTTATTGTTGTTGCTTTAACCATCATGGTCATATCAACCAAATAATAATAATAATAATAATAATAATAGAGAGAGAGAGAGAGGAACTATGTCAAGCAAAATATGTCTTTACATTAAAATATACAAACTGATTTTAATAGCAGCATCACTAACATTCTAGCATACAGTGTCCTCTGAGAATCTCAAGCAGGACTTGCCACTCTCCCATCCCTCACCTGCGCCTCCCAGCTTTTTCTTTTCCCATTGATATTCAACATTTCATGGCTTGCTGAGCATGCTCAGTCTTCAATGGTCAATTTTAACCATAAAGCAGGCATGAGGAATCTCCTCTAGATGTTGCTAAACAACAGCTCTCGCCATCGCCTTGCATTGGCCATGCTTGCTCAGGCTGATGAGAGATAGGAGCAATATCTGAACTGGAGGGTTAAAAGTTCCCCACTCTTACTTTAGGATTTCTTTTAAACAAACAAACAAACAAACAAACAAACAAACAAACAAACATATGTGCTTCTGCAAACTTTGGGACTCCTCAAACTCTTGACTTGTTTCTCCTTGGCCCCTGTTTTGGTTCCAATCCTGACAGCTCTTTACCACTTGAGTTAGTGTTAAGAGAATGTGTGATTAGCACGAGCTTTTGACTCTCATTGTAGTGCAGTTGGATTTTGTTCCTGCCATCCATCTTGTGTGATGAGAAGTAGTTTGCTGGACACATAATGAACGCTGTATCTGTTCTGAAGCACTTGCCTGATTGCTTTCCCATGTCCAAGTTGGATTAGAAGTGGGTTGGTTGTACAGCAATCAGATTTGGATAAATCCCAAAATCAGGAGTCAAAATAAATTGCTCCAGACAGGTTCAGGGCTTGTCTGAACTGAAGCAGGATCTCTGCAAAGCACCCCAAAGTGAATCAGACACTTTCAAAGCAATTCAGGGCAATTTACAGATTTGTATGTTAAAAGAATGTGCAGACAGTATGTCAGCAAAGATTGAAACATTTCTCCGCAAAGTGTGCCATGTAAGAAAAACAGCAGGATGGAGAGAGGTTGGGGGAGAGAGCTAAGAACATCAGATGAGCCCTACTGGTTTGGGTAAAAGATCCAGCTAGTCTATCCTGTTCTCACAATGGGTGTCATTGTCTGGCTGGATGCAGAGGAGTGTTAGGGGGTACCAGCTGGGGAACCCCCAAGGGAAGAATGCTCAGAGGGATTGGTGATGGAATGATGATGAGTGGTCAGAGAGAGCAGACTGGGAGGAGGAGGTGTCGGAAGCTGAAGAGGTAACAGGGTTTAGTGAGCAAGAAGATTCTGTGGCAGAAAGCAGTCTGGAATCAAAGGCAGAAGCGGAGGCTGGAGAGGAGGCAGGGAGGAGTAAAGCTGAGCATGGTGAAGGAGGCTTAGATTGCTTGGGAAGGACTGGGGCAATGAAGAGACTTAGGGAACTGTGGGAAGTCGGGGAACTTCAGTCCTAACAACTGCTTCATAGGGGCAAGATCTACCAGGATGAGTTGCTGTGCCCACTAGGCCTGGCCTCCTGAGTTGACCGTGTTTCCTTGAATAAAGAGTTAACTTCACTGACGCTGTGTGATTTATTGCTGACCTGCTCCTGACTCCAGCTCCCGACAGAGGGCAAAGAGAACCTTTTCCATTTCTACAGTATCCTTTATGAGCTGAAGTGACCAGAAATGTACACAGTATTCCGGGTGTGGTTGCACAATAAATATGTATAATGCCGTTATGACATTGACTGTTTTATTTTCAACCCTTTTCCTAATGATCCATAATATGGAATTTGACTTTTTCACAGCAGCTACACACTGAGTTGATATCATCAAGCTATCTACTAGGGCCGAAGGTTTCATTCCTTATCTGTCACTCACCACCAGTTCAGACCCCATGAATGTATATATGAAATTAAGTTCATAAAGGTTGCTCCACTTTACACATATTTACATTGAATTATACTTACAATTTCACCACTGCGAACTGTTTGCTACCATCATCAAGCTTGGCTACCTCTCAGCTCACCCTTAGATCAATAATGAGAAAGCTAAAAAGCATGTGTCCCACTAGTCACCCTTGTGCGACTCAATTTCCTACATCCCTCCTTAGGAAGAACTGCCTATTTATTCCTACTTTCTGCTTTCTCTTCCTTAACCAGTTACAAATCCACCAGAGAACCTTGTTATTTTATTCTATGACTGCTAAGTTAACTCAGGAGCCTTTGGTGAGATGCTTTATCAAAAGCTTTTTGAAGATCACAGCACACAGTTGCAGTGGGATCACCTCTATACCAGATGTAGAGAAACTTTTGGCCCTCTGGATTCCCCCTAATATAATACATTTTTAATGCTATTTTCATTAATATATTCAAATTTATGCCTCATCCCCCTAATATATGCATTTTTCCTCAAACATTGATTAGAGAATTGCATTGCAAAATATGGAAGAATGTTTGTGTTTTGGTTTTCGTATTGGTAGATTTGCCTTTAAATGAGAGCAACAACAAAAATTTCATCTCCATGAGTTGCTCTTTTTTTTGGGGGGGGGTCCTCCCTTTTTTCCTGTACATCTGCAAACCTTGGGGTTTTCCCCAAGCTTACTGGTGTATCCAGCGCAGTCTTTAGCATATGTGCCGCTGGGGTGCAAAGATCCGCCCAGCGCCCCCAAATTTAGTTTAGCTCTCAAATTAACTTTTATTATGCTTATGTCAGACCCCATGCTTATGCCTTATCTCTTGCTTATGAAAGAAGGGAGGAAAAAGAAACCAACTTTTTTATTTGCTCATTTATTTAGAATACACTTATACTTAAGTATACAACACCATCACACTTAAACTTGTAAGTATTGTTTAGGCACCTGCTTAGGAGAAACATCAGTCGTGTCAAAGGTGCTGTTGACCCCACTGCTGCATAGCAGCGCAGCTCAGTACAATACGTAACATAATATTTTGATGTAAGAGTTAATTTTGCGTGCACTGCGCCATTGAGAATGATAAACACTGTCATTGAGTCTGACAAGTGCCGCCATTGTGAATGACAAGCGCCACTGCTGGCACGGCACATCTTGGGTAAATGAGCGCAAAAGGCGAAAGTCCTTTAGTGAAATAGTAGGTATACATTTCGGTAATACCTAGGTATATATGTATTTTGTTTTTCTAGCTTGATCAAAATTATTTATTTTTTCATAACAGGTAGATAGTTAAGAGCTTAGGCAGCTTCAGTGGCGGGCACCTGGCGCCTGCCAGAATTTGGCGCCCGGGTGCCCTGCACCCTTTGCACCCCCGGGTAAAGACAACCCCAGGGGGTATATCGCTTGTGTTGCTGTTTCGGCTACCTAAAGCAACAACTCTCACACAATTGCATCTGATGTCAGCAAGTGAGGGAATTATCTATATTCAGAACAAGCCACATGTGGCACAGAACAGAGGGTTATAGAGTTATACTTTCATGGCTCTCATACCGGGTGTTGGAGGTTATTGAACTTGCTTGCAGAATGCAAGCTGTATTTACTATCAGTAAAAGGATTTTCTCTCTGAAGGAGCTAATCATTTCAACTGGTTCCAATTAAACACTCAAAAGCAGGCTTGAAGATGAGCACAGAAGTCCTAACAATGTCATTATGGGAATGCTTCAATTTGAACGTGCATAAGAATTTTAGTGGATCATGCTAATTACTTGCACCACTATGCAGGATCAGGTATAGTGGATGAAGTTTATAGTGAGTGGGGAAGTAAGTAGCTTTCTCTTTACACTAATGATGAAATATGGTTTTGAGGGAGAGGGAAAGCATTTTCTCTTGCCCTCTCCCCTCTCATAGTTCCTATGGAAACCAGCCTAAGTGGGTGTGCTGTCTCCATGCTTATTGAAGATGTAGATTTCACATCTAAGATGGAATTACAATTACAAATGGTGCTCTTGAGCAAAAAGGAAAATCAGTTCAAAGTCACAGGCTGAGGATTGTATTAGACAAACACTGATTGGGAACAGCGAAATCATGGCCGTTTCAAAGATAGTGGCATTCCAGAAGTGTAGCTCCAGGTGTGTTACAGCAACCCAAAACTCGACACATGGGATGCACAACTTGTAAAAGAAGACATTGCACCGCACAGGGTCTCTGATGACTTCCTGTGTCAACGGCATCACCAGTGCTGCTGACCGGCAAATCTGCAAATGAGGACCAAGAAAGTAAGACACCCTTGAAAAAACGTATGTGAGCTCAAACACTGCATTACAACCCCCTCGTTCCCTTAAACCAAATGCAGACATGCCTGTATCTTTCTCTGTCTAGGAAAACTATTGCTCTATTTTTATCACTCCTTCTTGTCCTGTTCCTTCCTGCTTGCTTTATTCAGAGGTGGAGAAGGAAGAAACTGTTGAACTTAAGAGTGTGTGCTGCTTAAACTAAAGTTATGGTCCCCAGCTTAATTTTTTTCTATTATAAAGTGATGTATGGAACTGATATATAAGCCCCCTATTCTATGAATTAGGAGGGGGAAGGGAACATGTGCATTGCCTCTGCTTTTGACTTCCAAGTGGTCATTTTAAGCCTTCACAGTCCCTATGCAATGACAAATGGAGAAGGACATAAGAACAGACCCATCTTATCCAGCATCTTGTTCTCACGGTGTCTACCCAGATGCCTGTGAGAAACCCACAAGCAGGACTCAAGCACAAGAGCACTTTCTCCTCTTGAGGTTTCCAGCAACTGGTATTCAGAGGCATGTTGCCTCTGACAGTGAAGATGGAGCATAGCCGTCGAGGTAGGAGGGTGGCAGCTGCCATCTGGGCTATGCTCCTTACCTGACTGGCAAGCCAACAATCGCAAAGGGGTGAGCCAGAATAGCCACAACTGTTCTCACTGCCTTCCCTGCTGATCAGTGGACCCCATTGCTCAGATGATTCCACAGGGACAACAAAGGGAGCCTGATCTCCTTTTCTGAAATCCCTAAGCCACTCTACATGCTGATTATATCACTAATCCTGCACCCCCAATAAAACCTTCTGGGACTTCTAACTCCCCACATTTTAAGATGGGGGATTATGTTGTGACTTTTACTTAAAGGCTTCACATATGCCCTGCTTTCTTGCTATTGTTACTTGAATCTATTAGTTTGCTATCCTGCACGCACAGTGGCATTAAGTCAACATAACTTCTTTTTATTCATCTGACAAAACATATGTACCCTGCATCCACTTAAGCCTCTAAGCAGTTTACACAAAACAATATAAAATATTGATGAAATATACAGAAAAATCAAAGGCTAAAATAATTGACATAAAATTTATCAACCCCCCAAAATCTATGTTTTGTTTTAAAGCAGCTTTAAAACATATGCACATCATAAAATTGCATGTTAACCTTACTTTGCAACCATCTGTTAACAAAGATTAGCACCTTGCCCTATAGTCATAGGCAGGTCCAGAACTTTCTGTATTGCCAGAACTAGGAATGTCCCTGTTTCCAATTCACAGTTGGCTTTGCCTCTTCAGAGTGGTAAAAGTCAATCTAGATTCTATATGTTGCTGGATTTGGGCAACAACTCCTTGTATTTTAAGACTAATTGCTCTCCTACTGTACCACTTGAAAGCTGGTGGTTTGTTTGGGGTTTCTTTTGGGTTAAAAATGTATTAAAAACAGCAGCTGCTTTCTGCTGAGATTTCTCAGTGCCTTGTGGGCTTGTTTAAAACAGTTCTCTAATTTTGGTTTTAAATTCAGGGCATTATCCCTCTTCTGCTCCCGACTATGAGTAACTTGCTTGTGGAGGTCTGGAATGGCTGGACATGGCTAGCAATAGACAGAGCATCTTAATTCCATTATGTTTCAGTCTGGCTGGCACTCAGTCTCAGGTCCATTCCATTTTGTGCAGATTTTTTTTTAAAGTATGCATAGGAAGTCCGTATTTAATTTGTGTGCACTTTTCAGTGCTTTTCAATGCATTCATCCAAATACACACACACACACACACACACACTTTACACTCATCTTTTATGTAAAATATAAATGTTTGTCTGTCTTTTTTGTGTACCAAAAGAGCATCTCAGACTCTGAAGAGTGTAATCTGAGTAATAATAATAATAATAATAATAATAATAAATTTATTATTTATATCCTACCCATCTGGTTGGGTTGCCCCAGCCACTCTAGTAGTTGTGTTCAGGGCTGTCAGATCAGTGTGGACAACTGTGAGAAGGTGACTGAACAGATTCCTCCGTCTTGCCTTAACATGGCACATAATAGTGCTTGGTTCCAATAGTTTATACTCAGCCCATGACTGTCAGGGAAGGAGGGAAAAGCTGAGTCCCGTTGTCTGGGGAAGGGTAAAACTTCTGCCCTGCTTGCAAAGGATTCCATGTTCAATCCCTGGCATCTCCAGTTAGAACTGGGAGAGAACCTTGCTTGAAACCCCCGAGAGTCACTGCCAGGCAGTTCAGGCACTCCTGAGCTAGATGGACTAGTCAGGGGTCAGCAAACTTGTTCAGCAGGGAAAAAACCACTGTCCCTCAGACCTTGTGGGGGGCTGGACTATATATATATATATATTTTGGGGGGGGTGAATGAATTCCTATGCCCCACAAATCACCCAGAGATGCATTTTAAATAAAAGGACACATTCTACTCATGTAAAAACACGTCGATTCCAGGACTGTCCGTGGGCTGGATTGAGAAGGCGATTGGGCCAGATCCGGCCCCCAGGTCTTAGTTAGCCTACCCATGGACTAATGGAACTGATGCAACATAAGGCAGCTCCTATATTGCACCCAATGACACATGTGGCAGCATGGATCACACCCTGTTTGCTTCCCTTCCACAATTCTCCAGTGTTGAACTGATCATATCTCAAGGGGATGATGATGATAATTTGAAAACAAAAAACAGGAGCATCACTGTCCAAAACATGGACAGAAATGCTCTCTCCCCTGCAGTGATCTATCCCTCATCTACCCTGTTGAGAGAGGACCATCATCATAGCACTAAGAGACGAGAGTGGGGCTTTTAATCAGTGGGGGAAGAGAGGTTTTATTAAGTGCAATTCAGCTTCCAGCTAATCAGCCATCAGCAATTGAGGTCCTTAAGGTTTCTTACTAAATCTAAATGGAGATTATTGTGACAGGAGAAATTGCTTCTACTCTATTTAACAGAGCTCCGTAGCTAGGAAAGGATTAGCCAGGAAAATTAAGAGATATGACAGTTGGAAAACAATAGGCGCACCACTGAAATATTTGCAGCCTTCATCAGGTGATTGGTCCATCAAATCCAGTTCTGCCTATTCTGGTGGTTAATTTTCCAAGGACTTCAGCAAAGGTTGTTTCAGCCACTTGCTATCATTCACTTTTAGCTGGAAAGCAGGAAGACTAACCATAATGCATTTTAAGCATCTGTATATAAAGCATGTGTTCAGTCAATGCACTGCGGCCTGTCTCCTGTTTGGGCTTATCCACACGTACCTTTCCTCCACTCTTTTCAGGGCTGGTTCAGCAGCAGGTCAGAATGAAGACTTAGAAACTCAAAGTAAAGTCAGCTTTTATTTAAGAAAATAGTATACAAGCAAAGAGCACCCAGGCACAACTGTTCTAAGTGGCAACTTTGCCAAGACTAACTCTTGGCCCCTCCTCTCTCCTCCTAAACCTCCTCCTCTAGATGTCTCCCAAGCCAGCATAAACTCTGGCGACAAGGGAACCTCCTATGGACTTTCTGAGGTTTCTTTTCAGCTGCATGCAAACTCCTGTGTGACCTTGGAGTCAAAAAGGGGAGGGGAGCTTACTACAGTGGGACAGGGCAGTTGCTGCAAAGCTGTTGCAGCTTCTGTCCCTTCCTCCTCCTCTCTTTTAGGTCTGGGGCCTGAAGTATCTCCCTCTGCACTTTGAGCTTGTCATTTCTTCCACCTCCCAGCCTCCATCCTCCTCTGACCTGTCTTCAGAGTACCATCACCACAATCCAGCTTGTGAGCCTTCCTCCTCTGCTACTTACCTAGGGGGTTCTTCGGCTGGAGCCCTCCACCACTCCTCCAGCCAGTCCCTGACAGTTCTTTCCAGGTGTGGTCTGCACTTTAAAACTTCATGTCTGAGTACCTTTTATTTTATTTTTTCAATCTCTGCAGCTTTCCCATGAAAACCCACTCTTTAAAGCTCAATCAGAGCAAACAGCAATCCAAGGAAAGCTCACACTGATGTTTGTTGCTACGGAGCACTTAAGAGCAAGTTTTCACGAGGAAAGCTCTGGGGCAACAAACAGACACAGAGCTTTCTAGTGCAGATCTGTGCCTGGAAAGAGCAGGGCTAAAGGTAAGGGTGGATAAACCTTTTATCATTCTGAAGAACAAAAGGCATCCTGATCTTAAAGCTTGGCTTTCTACTGACCTCCCTGTGTGCCATTTTTTAAAAAATAAAATTTTATTAACTTTCTTTTGTATTTTAACAAACATCTCATATCAATAACATACATGTTACAAATCTTCATCCCCTTTCCTCCCAGGCTTCCCCCAGCTCCCTTATCATATACTGCTGTTTCCACCAATTCACCATATCGTTTCTTCTTTATTTTAAATGTTCTATATTTAAAAAGTGTGTATGTTTATTTAAATCCTGCCTTCAAGTCAATTTTCTTTTTTTGTTTCTGCAAATATAATATAAAAGGTTCCCACTCTTTTTCAAAGTCACTGTTGTCCTTTTCTCGTAGCCTATCTGTCAATTTTGCCATTTCTGTGTAGTTCATCAATTTCTCTTGTCATTGTGCTTTTGTTGGAATTTCTCCAGTCTTCCAGTTTTGTGCTACCAAATTTTTCGCTGCTGTAGTAGCATACATGAATAATGTCCTCTTCTCTTTTGGCAGATCTTGACCTAAAATACCTAACAGGAAAGCTTCTGGTTGTTTAACAAATGTCATTTTCAACATTTTTTTTCAATTCATTGTATATCATTTCCCAATATGTTTTTACATTTTTACAATCCCACCACATATGGTAAAAAGTACCTTCAGCTTCACACCTCCAACACTTCTTCTGTTCATTTTTATATATGTTTATGTTTTTTGCTGTTATCCATACACCCAAATATTTTACCTTTTTATATGCTTCTACTCCTATCATTTCTGTTACTTCTTTCCTCTCATGTTCTTTAAGGTTTTTTAATAGCAGTTTGGTCTTATTTTTGTTTAATTTAAATCCTGCCACTTGTCCAAACTCTTGTATTATGTTCATTACTTTTGGGAGGGAGATTTTCGGATCTTTCACAGTGATTACTGGATCATCCCAAAGGCTTTCAATTTATGCTCACTTTTTTTTACTTTTATTCCCAATATTTCTTTATTTTCTCTTACTTTCCTCGTCAGTACTTCCAGTACCAGAATGAACAACAGCGGTGATAACCAACATCCTTGTCTTTGTATGCCATTTTTTGACTGCCTGTCTTGGGTCATTTTTTTTTCTGCACATCGCCAGGACAAATCTTGCTGCCAGGTTTTAGCCACATCGCCAGAATCTCAAGTCACCATTTTGTGCCACTTTAGCTGAAATGGATATATTGATGTTGAGCTGTTCCCTAAGTCTGAGAGTTGCTTCTCTCACCATGTCCTCTGAGGTACCAACAGCAACTCACCTCTCCTTTCTTCAAAGTTGTGTGCAGAGAAGTATTTAATGACATGAAGGCAACTCCCAGGAAAGATGGCGAATCGAGCGTTCTGGAACTGGCTCTGCAGTTCAAAGGTTTGTTTACAGATCCATGGGGTGTTTGGTCATTTATATTATTCAGCTAGATAAATTGTCCTCACATTTTGGCAGGCATGAAAACTACTCTTGGGAGCTATCCAATGTACTGGAACTGTAATGTGAAGTGTAACTGGGAAGGAGAGTTGCTGTACTGCTGTACTGCAGAATAATTAGGTTCCGCTGTAAGGTGAAGTAGTTTAAGATGATGAGAAGCAAGATAGGTCATCTTATAGTCAAGAAGAGAGCTGAGCTAATCAAACCAATGAGCTTCATCAAAACATCACACATACAAAATTTTCACAGAAGTGTTTCCATCACCAAAGTAACGGGATCAACATCCTGTCTCGCCACTCTGAACTGCATTTGTTTCATTGCCCTTACATCACAGCAAGGCAAGGAACAAGCTCCCACATTGCCAAGGCAACCAGGCCAATGCTCCTTGTTTTGCCAAGCTGTGCTGTGAGGACAAGCAATGAATGCTCCATGATGAAGCAATCTGGTATGGCAGCAGGTGTCAACCCGATTGCCTCAGCAATGAGGACACATTACATTGCGTCCTGAGAATACAGCATTGGTTTTGTTTGCTCTTACCACTGCTACATAGTCAAATCTGATTGGCTATTGACCTAAGTGGTACTCTGATGTCCTTGCATTTGTTGCATGCTTCATGATTGCTTATGATCTTTCTTTCTTTCTTTCTTTCTTTCTTTCTTTCCCGCAACACTTTTCTTCAGAATTATTCAACTCTGACATATTTCAGAATTTAATCTCCTGTAGAAAGTGATGGCACTGCAGTTATCTTTAGAAGGATATATGCCTATAGCTGAACAATTTGTGTAGATCACTTTCTGTTTTCATGAAGCAGCTCATACTTTCTACCTAAACAACCAAGGAAAGTCTTGTCAAGTATCTATCCAAGTTGCTTGAGATATAGCAGATTCTGTCTTGGAACCGCCTGATTGAAGATCCAGCTTGTGCTGTCATTTCTTTTGAGAAAGCTTCACATAATTTGGATCAACATGCATACATTAGTCACACCTAACACCCTCATCACACATTACTTCACAACTGAGATGTGATTTTGTGTGTGCATGCCTATTTCTTACACAAGGTTAAAGAAAACTTGGTTAGTGAATGAGTAAGCAGCTGGCTCACTTAGGCAGGAATAACCAGCGGCACAAATATTATATGGGGGACATCTGGCTTGCCATTAGTATATGTGAGGAATATCTAGGGGTTCTTAGTAGACCACAACCTTGACATGAGTCAACAGTGTGATGCAGCAAAAAAACTAATGCTATTCTAGGCTGCATCAACAGCAGTATGGTGTCCAGATCCAGGAAAGTCATAGTACTGGTCTTTTCCATTCAGACCACACCTGGAATACATTTGGAAGGTGATGGACCCTCCTTACTTGGAGGTTTTTAAGCAAAGGTTGGATGGCCATCTGTCATGGATGCTTTAGTTAAGATTCCTGCATTGCAGAGGGTCAGACTAGATGAGCCTCAGCGTTACCTCCAACTCTCCAGTTCTATGATTCTATGATTCTGTGTTCTGTACTTGTAAATATCTAGTTATACATTTTTCATTAAGGTGTATACCTGACTCCCAGTTATTGCAGCTAAATTTCAGGTCTGCTGAAATCCCAAAGAGTTCTTCTTTGCAAACAGCCCTCACCTTCAGATCTATATATTAGTAATGATGTGATAAAAATTGCCTTTTGAAACATTTTGTACAATGCAACTCTAATCACCACCATAATGATAGGAATATATGCACCTTTCAACATTTACTGCTACAGGGAAATATTATTCCAGCCTTTTGTCCTTCAGGATATATTGGCTTGAGTGCATTAACTAAAACTGTAACACTTAATTATTCCTATGCCGTTCCAATACCTCTCAGCTGTGCATCAAATACACAATACCAAAATGGGAAGCCTACTTTCCACAACTAAATATTTATAGCTGTAGGATATCCGGACATGAACAGTTGTAGAAACTAAACTCTTTAAAAAGAATGCTGAACTCTTGTCCCCAATGCTATACTGAAAAGTTACAGGCTTTCTGAAACAGGAATTCACATTTCAAAGAAGAGATTGAAGGCAAAACCATATAGACATCTATTCTGCAAGACTTTAAAGAAATGCTCATACGTTCAGCTTCTCTTCCACTGAAAACAGAAGAATGTAAAAGTATCTTATTTTGTTAATTTAAAAGATTTTTTTTAATATAATTTTTATTGGTTTTTTTCCAAACATAACATCTCATCCTGTACAACATAACAAACGTTTGGCTATCACAGCCAGAGACTTCCATCAACCTCGACTAATGGTATTCTAACTTTCTTTCTGATTTTGCATTTTATTTTAATAGTTATTGCTATAAAATCCATATCCTAAATAAACTCCTTCTTAGTCCTCTTTTGCAATAATTCATATGGTTCTCCTTACAAAACTTCTTGCAACCCTACAAGTGATGTCAGTTGATTAAAATTGTCTTTCAAATATATCATAAATTTCTTCCAGTCTTTCAGGAAAGTCTGGTCTTGCTGGTTCCAAATTTTCCCAGTTAATTTCGCCAACTTGGCATAGTAAATCAGTTTAATCTGCCACTCTTCTTAATTTAAAAGATTTAAATACTGCCCAGCAGTGGAGCTTGCAGGCTGATTCACTAAACAACATAAAATAATGCACAATTACTTTATTTTTTGTGGGTCATACTAGAATGCCTTCTGTAAAACAGTTACTTTGACTATGGCTGCAATCATAGAGTGGCAACAGTGTGACATATTGTACATTTTTACTTAATAACGTAAGAAGATCCATGCTAGATCCATGTGGCCCAGCATCCTGTTCTCACAGTGACCCACCAGGTGCCTATGGGCATCCCAGAGAGGGAACATGAGTGCATCCACATTCTCCCTGCTTGTGGTTCCCAGGAAGCAGTTGCTCTGATAGTAGCTGTAGAACATAGTTATTGCGGACAGTAAAAAAGATAAAGGTAAAGGACCCTGGATGGTTAAGTCCAGTCAAAGGCGACTATGGGGTTGCAGCATTCATCTTGCTTTCAGGCCAAAGGAGCCGGTGTTTGTTCACAGACAGCTTTCCGGGTCATGTGACCAGTATGACTAAACCGCTTCTGGCGTAACAGGACACCATGACAAAATCCAGAATGCCTGGAAACGCCATTTACCTTCCCACCACAGCGGCACCTACCGTATTTTTCGCTCTATAGGATGCACCCGACCATAGGACACACCTTGTTTTAGAGGGGGAGGACACTCAGCGCCCCTTCAGTGAAGCGGCAGGAGCTGCGCAGCTCTCCCTCTCTGCTGAAGTCAGGAGAGTCTTGCTCTCCCAGCTTCAGCAAAAGGAACCCGAAGCCTTCGGAGCACAGTGCGAGTTCCCACTGCGCTCCAAAGGCTTCAGGCGGCTATCCCTGAAGCCTGGAGAGTGAGAGGGGTCGGTGCGCACCGACCCCTCTTGCTCTCCAGGCTTCAGCGAAAGCAACGTGAAGGCTCCGGAGCGCGGAGGGAGCGCTCCCTCTGCGCTTCGGAGGCTTCGTGTTGCTATCGCTGAAGCCAAGGAGCCTGCATTCACTCCATAGGATGCACACACATTTCCCCTTAACTTTTGGAGGGGAAAAAGTGTGTCCTATAGAGTGAAAAATATGGTATTTATCTACTTGCACTGGCATGCTTTCAAACTGCTAGGTTGGCAGGAGCTGGGACAGAGCAACGGGAGCTCATGCCATCATGGGGATTCGAACCACCGACCTTCTGATCGGCAAGCCCAAAAGGCCCAGTGGATTAGACCACAGCACCACCAGTGGACCGTAGCCACTGATAGTCTTATTCTCCTTATTCTCCTTTATCCTCTATGAACCCTCCTTGAATTTTCCCAATCCCTTTTAAAAACTATATAAGCTGATGGTCTTCAGTATACTTTGTGATGTAGCACAACTAGTCAACTCAGTGCAACCATCATCTACTTCTGGGATGGGGAAACTGGTGCCTTGCGAGCCATTTGGCCTAATTTTGTGTGATCCACAGGCTCCAGATACCACAGGCTCATTGAACACCACTGATTTATCCAGGTGGAGCTGGGAACAATTCCTGTCTAAAATGGAAACCCTGAAGTAACATTACCAGACAGTTTAGACAATACTGAGTTAGAATGATTGATCATCTGACTCATTAGGAGGCAGCTTTTCCATTCAAAGTATGTTTTCGACCACTGAGATACAACGCTTTCCATTATTTACAATTAAAGTATGCTTAAATTTTAGCTTTCCTATTGAAATCCACTATGACAAAATTTTAGCTTTCGCGCAAATTAGGGCAAAACATTGGGTTGGATCATGCTCTTTGTAGTTTAAGCAGGTCATAGCAGGTATCATTTCAGGGTTCACAGTTCTACTCTGAACATTTACACTCCCTTCCTACCTTGGGACCTATATGTCTTGGGGAAGCCAGTAGGATCTTCACCAGCTTCAGGTGGTCACAAAGTGCAAGGGGGCTTTGATATCATTTTAGCAAAGGAGAATTCAGCCTCTCAGTGTAAGTATGTAACTGGCTGTATATTGTTTTAACCTGAAGGAAAGAAGATAAATGTAAACAGTGGCCTTGAGGAAAAGATGAAGGTGTGACTCTGCATTTAGAACAGCTCGATGAACAGAGCAAAACACTGAGAACACAGTCAGAAAATGCAGTGGATCAGAGAGAAGAGTCTTAGACTAATACGAAAATAATAAAAAATAAAAAAATCAGGCTCCAGCAAGCAAGTGAAAATTAGAACTTGGCCCCAAACCCAGGAAATGAAGTACAAAAAGAAGAAAATACTTCCAAAGGGAATTTCAATTTCATGTCAAGCCCAAAAGATAAAATCCAAATCTTGCCTCATACCATTTATCTACCAAGTTAATTACAGATAGTTGGCCTGAAACAACAAGTTAACAATTTATGGAGAAAGGAGACTAACTGAGATAAGGCAGCTGATCTATGTGGAGTCTGAAGCTATCTGGCTTAGGGGCGATATGGAGATATCTATTAGCACTGGCTTCCTTGTTTCTTAGGTGCTCCTATGAGAAAAAAGCAAGGCAATGTAGAATTAGGACAATTAATGAGAGGAGATGCTTTTTGTGACTATGCCTTCAGAACATTGTAATACCCATGTCTACATATATGGTGAGGAAAGTAATTAATGTAAACCCCATTCTTTTTAAAGGGGTCCTAAGTATAATGGGTGGTATCCAATTGGTGTCCTTCAATTGACTGAAGGCATCCATCAGCAAGCAGAAATGGGAGGGATACATTTCTGGCAATTCTCCCTGCTCATGAAGCTCCTAAACTTTCCTTAAATCAGTCCCAGGGGGGTCTTACTGCTCAGGGCAGATTTTTTAGGGTGGGAGGGGTAATTAACAAAAATTGCTTCCCTCCTGATAGATGCTTCCTGTCAGCAGACTGTAGGAGCAGGTATCTTGAGATTCCTGCATTGTAGGAGGTTGAACTAGATGACCCTTGGGGTCCATTCCAACTCTACACTTCTATGATTTATGAGCTTACCACCTCATTTAAAGTTGTGCATTTCTGGAGTCCACTGGTGTTCCCCCCACCATTTGGACCAAGCAGTGAAAGATCAGACAAGTTCAAATGATTCTGAAGTTTTACTAGACACAGCTATAACAGGCTAAGAAAAAGAATTACACACACACACACACAAAACCACACACAGAGCAAATGGTTCTTATATGTAATGGTTTCTTTTCTGGCAAGCATAGGTTGCCTCAAGTACATGTCTGACTCTTAAGTTCATTTTTTTGAACCGAGTACTATATCACAAAATTTGGAGAAGTAGAAAATCAGAAGGATAATTATGTTCCAATCCAGGCCACTTCACTTAAAAGTATGGACCGGAGAAAAACAGAACAAAATGAAGAAGAAGAAGAAGAGGAGGAGGGGGAGGAAATTATCCATTACTATCTCAGTAGAGGGGTAGCTAAGCTAACCTGTGGCATATAGATTCTATTGCTTTGTAACTCACATCATCTCTGACCACTGGGTATGTTGGCTGAGGCTGATGGAGCCCAGTAAACACAGGTTCCCTGAACTTGGTCTATAACAGTACATAAAATGTACACTGCACATCAACATATGATGTGTATGTATTGTTATTTTCAGCACTGTTTCACTTAGAATGCATCCAAGTGAGATCCTGGTGTGTGCTTGAATGCTGCACAAACCCCAAGCCTCATCTAACAACACAAACATCATGCCTACAACCCTTTATCAAGGTGAAATGCAATCTATTTATAAATAAATAAATAAGTAAGTAAGTATATCACCCTTCATCTGTAGATCTCGGGGCAGTTCACAAGATAAAATTACAATATAAAAACCACAAAATACATAATAAAAATAAGAACAACTACAAACCAATAATCCCAACTCCACAACACATTTAAAAGGGCATCAGATGTCAATCAGCCAAAGGCCTGGTTGAAGAGGAACATGTTCGCCTGGTACCTAAAGGTGTATAATGAGGGCACCAGGCAAGCCTCCTTGGGGAGAGCATTCCACAAATGCCATTGCAGAAAATGCCCATTCATGTGTTGCCACCCTCCAGAACTCTCGTGGAGGAGGCACATGAAGACCTCAGATGATGATCACAAGATCCAGGTAGGTTCATATGGGGAGAGGTGGTCCTTGAGATATTGCTGTCCTGAGCTGTTTAAGCCTTTAGAAGTCAAAACCAGCACCGGAAACCAATTGGAAGCCAGTGCAGTTGGGCCAGGATTGACCGATTAACAGTTTAGAAATGGGTGCTGGAATGGATCCAATATGCTCTCCTACTCCTTCCCTGCCAAACAGCTGATTTCGCAAAAAAGGAGCTCTGCTCACATAGACCTAGATACTTCCCACATTTTTTGTTAGACCAAAGACCAATATTATTATTGTTTTTTGCAGAATGAATCAGCCTCCTATGAACAATGTAAAGTTTTCTCTTGCTGTGCTGTACTTTGCGTTGTGTATATATCACTGAGCAAAGCATGCCACCAGTAATCATCCATCCCATTTTCTCTGCCTTTTTCCTCTTCCTTTAAAGGGTAGAGGATGAGATCCGCTGAGACCCAGGGAATCATTTGCTACAGAAATGGCTCTTGGATATGCTCCATCCATGCAGATGCCCTCATTTGTCTGGGAACCAGTGATCTGTTTCTGTTATGTCTACTTCTATGTTACATTAGTCCTCTGAGCAGCTTTTGTTAGGATAATCTTTTGCAGGGCTTCTCAAGCGGTTCAGAAAATCAAGGAAAGCATTGCCTGAAGTAGTGCGATGCATCTCCATTTACTCACAACCCATTCAGTTGTCTCCTGGCATTTGGAGTACATGCTGAAATAGAATCTACTTATTGCCATATAAAAGCTATACTTGCATTGGATTGACAGGTATGCTGTAGCAGATTTGTGGTTTGCCAGTGAGTCGCATTAATGAAGATGCAAGAGTTCCATCGTAAGGCAATCACATCTGGACTCGAATCTAATTGCAGCGGAATGTGAAAAAACACATGCCAACCTTTGTAATACAGATCTCTGAAATGCAGAGAAGATGGATCAGGAGTTCAAATAAAGAACACTGGCATCCTCGTTGCTGTTGTTTGCTCAGAAATTCTAGGAAACAAAGAAAATATGTGCTGTTTTGAAGTCCATGGATACAATCATTGCAGTTTTTGTGGGAATTAAGACTCAAAGTATATGGAAGACAGGCCTGGGCCATTTGACCCTTTAATTAGTTCTCTTTTCCCTCCTATAAAAACTACAGTGGTACCTCAGGTTACATACGCTTCAGGTTACAGACTCCGCTAACCCAGAAATAGTGCTTCAGGTTAAGAACTTTGCTTCAGGATGAGAACAGAAATCGTGCTCCGGCGGCGCGGCGGCAGCAGGAGACCTCATTAGCTAAAGTGGTGCTTCAGGTTAAGAACACTTTCAGGTTAAGAACAGACCTCCAGAACGAATTAAGTACTTAACCTGAGGTACCACTGTACTCTCTTTTAAAGTTTAAATAACATACAACTGTTACTGATCATACTTGCACTTGCAGATTAAATATACAATGCAGGTCGGTGATACTTAAATTGCTAAAACATCTTGCATAGATTAAACTCTTATAGACTAACTAACTCTGAGGCAGACAGCAGCACAATACGACATACCTGCTGCTCTAACTGTTAAGACTGTTCAACTAACTGCCATAACTGTACCAACTGCCATAACTGACACAGAGTGTATGACATCACATTGTTCTACAGCTCTTGCAATTAACCCTTTACATCATGGGTAGGCAAACTAAGGCCTGGGGGCTGGATCCGGCCCAATCGCCTTCCAAATCCGGCCTGCGGACGGTCCGGGAATCAGCGTGTTTTTGCATGAGTAGAATGTGTCCTTTTAGTTAAAATGCATCTCTGGGTTATTTGTGGGGCATAGGAATTTGTTCATTCCCCCTCACCAATATAGTCTGGCCCCCCACAAGGTCCGGGGGGACAGTGGACTGGTCCCCTGCTGAAAAAGTTTGCTGACCCCTGCTTTATATATACATTTTGGACGCTAACATGCCACAGTTTTGAAAGGTTGTTGTGCTTAAACAACTTGGGACCAAAGTACCTTAAGGATCATCTGCTCCCTTTTGCTCACCTCAATCACTGAGAACCTCTGAGGAGGCACCTCTTGTGCTTCCCCAAGCCTCTGGGGTTCAGTGAGCTCTTACTAGGGACCGAGCCTTTAGTGTGGCAGCCCCTGTCCTGTGGAACTCCCTGCCAGTAGAGGTTTGGTAGGAATCATCCCTGCCTTCTTTTAGATGTCAGCTAATAATAGGCAGCCTTGGGAATGTGGATTTTCCTTCAGCCAACCTGTATTTAAAGTTATTTTTCTGATGTTTGGTTAATGCTGTTGTTCTAAACTTTGTATGGTGTACAGCACCTTGCTATATTTCTACAAAACTGTGGTTTATACTGATTTAAATAAATAAATAAATAAATAAATACCATAGCCTTTCTTTCCCCAGCCAGGCGCCTCCAGATGTTTTGGACTACAACTTTCCTTGCACAAATGTTATAGAACAGATGTTGTTGGACTACAAATCCCATCATTCCCGACCATTGACTGTTGGAAGTTGTGTTCTAACAACATCTGGTGGGCACCGCATTGACTGCCTCTGCTCCAGATTTACTTTGTCTCATGACTCTAAGAGCGTGTGACCCCAGAGGTCCAAAAATGAACTCCTTGAATGGATATTCATTTCCTCCTTTCACCAGACTGGTCCTCTTTAACTCTCCTACTGCATCCCTGTGACAAAATGATGCAGGAGATGCGCTATGAACTACAGATGGATCTAGTTACAGTGTGGTTACATCTCAAGTGGGTTGCTGCAAGAGCAGATTTGTGTCATGGAGCAGGTGATGGAAGCTCTTATAGGAAATGGTAATAATGAATGTCTCAAACTGAAGACTCCCAAGGGTGTCAATTAAATGTCTTTTCAGAACTGGGTAACCTTCAGCCTCTTTCAAGTACTCAGAAACTAGTTGGGTGATATGTTTTTTCTCCTTTTTTTTCTCTGTTACCAACACACAACTTTCAGTGACATTTACTGATACCCAAGGTTTGATTTATTTTTTATTGACAGTCACTACTTCCAGGGATGCTTGACAACTCAGATCTAAAGCACCAATTTCTCCTCCCTTGACTGACATTCTTTGTGAATATACAAACAGGAAGGAAAAACTTAAGCTTAAATACCAATGGATTATTTTTTTTCTGGTACCTGACTAAAAGCAAAAACATTTAGAAACTTTCCAGGTAACCAAGGATATTGTTTAAGGTACACTCTGTCAAGAAGCTTGCGATGTGACAGGAAATATCTTGATTCAGTCTCCCCATGGAGCAGAGATTGCAAAAATATACATTAATGTGGTGTCCTTTCCAACTAAGTCACAGACCACTCTGCAAAATGATTCTGTTAAAATGATTAACTGTGCTTAGGAAATTCAAAATGTGATTTGATTACCTCTAACAGAGCAGGCGTCAGAGGTAAAATTCTAGTCGTGAAGGAAGTATGATTGCAAATGGTGCCAATTTCATTTGTACATAAAGGTGATGCTGTCATCTTGCAAGCAGAGAGATTATATTTATACCATGTATATGTGATGATGACATAAAAAGAAACATAGTCTTCCTGTGGATTTTCAGAAGTCAGTTAAGAAACGGCTGCAAGGAATGAAAGAATGGAGTAGGGGTTCTTAGTCCTTTGGGTCCTGTAGGTAGATTTGAGTTTTCAAAACCTATAAGGCAAGGGTGGGGAACCTTGGGTTTGGGGACAAATGTGACCCTGTTTATTACATTTATTTCCTGCCCTTCATCCAAAAGGAATATGTATTTGAACTCTGATATTGCTTGCCTAGATGAAGAACAGAGAGAACTGGGTGAGTGTATAAGGAAAGGTAAAGGTACCCCTGACCGTTAGGTCCAGTCGCGGACGACTCTGAGGTTGCACGCTCATCTTGCTCTATAGGCCAAGGGAGCCGGCATTTGTCCACAGACAGCTTCTGGGTCATGTGGCCAGCATGACTAAGCCACGAACCAGAGCAGCGCACAGAAACGCCGTTTATCTTCCCACCGGATTGGTACCTATTTATCTACTTGCACTTTGACGTGCTTTCGAACTGCTAGGTTGGCAGGAGCAAAGACTGAACAACGGGAGCTCACCCCGTTGTGGGGATTCAAACCGCCGACCGTCTGATCGGCAAGCCCTAGGCTCTGTGGTTTAGACCACAGCGCCACCCGCATCCCTGTGTATAAGGAAACTAGCTAACAAATTTGCATGTGTTGCTCCACCCACTTCTGCCTCTGCCCTCGCCCACAAGTCACCCACAATATAGCTGCATGGAGACATTGCCCCTCACTTTCTCTAAATGTGTTCTCCCCCTGTCTCTCTTGTGTTCTTTCTCAAGGAAGGAAGGAAGGAAGGAAGGAAGGGTGCCACATCCCATACTGGTCCCTTCTCAAGTCTCTATGCTGGTTGAAACCTGCCTGATATGGCACAAACTTGATTAATGGGAACCTGAAAGAAATGGAAAACAGAGAAGGGGGCTTATCTCCCACAGTTTACTAATTTTTGAAGAAACTTGAAAATGGTAGGTTCTTGAAAATGCCACCGCACAAACCTCTCTCCAACTACTCTTCTGCCACACTGGCTTTATCTAAATGTCAGAATTCGCTTTTCTGACAGCAATAGCTTTAAAAATATCAGGTTTACATATATTTTTTTAAAAAAACACTAAAATAAAATAACCTCCTCCCCCCACAGATTTCACCACTTATTTTGATGAAAACTCATTTGTCAGTCTTCGAGAAGCAAAGCTTTTTGAACCTCTATTATCTATTCATATTCAAAAGCAATCCCTGCAAAAAAGTTAATTTCTTAGACTTAGACAGCTGACAAATATTGCAATGACTAAAGTCTAAAGAAATCACATTTCCTTTTCTAAAAAAGTCAATATGCCTGAAAATGAATGTTTGCTGCCAAGGGCTTTGCCGCTGGCCTGGTCTTCACAATGAATAATAGAACTGTAATATAAGCACCAAGAAAGGCGAGAATCGCTTAGGATTTAGTTCAGTACTTTCTTTGACCTCCCAGCACAAACTATTCAGTGTAATAAGTTACTTTTTTTTAAACAAAAGTGGCATACTATTAAAGATGACACCATAATCGAGTCCTAATGTGGGTTCCTGTAATAAGCCTTCCCCTTTCCCAGGCATCCTTCGTCTGTGTTTCAAGTTACTTGTGATCCAAAGAGTTATTTCCATAGAAGGAAGGCTGGAATGGGTTATGGGAAACAAAGGTATTCCTCTCCCATAGTTATACAATCATTGTTGGTATCCATCTGTCTTGAGAGACAATGGAGTGTGCCTCCGGTGGTGAAGTCACATTTATGGAGAATCACAGTGTCTGCTTTGGCTGCAGAGATCAGTAACTGCTGCCTCCTACATTGTTTTTGCTGTGTTAGCAGCACCAATGTGAACTCTCTGGGGTGCAAGCCTGGGCAGTGTGTATGGAGGTCCTGGGCTGCCCAGATGACAAGACTCCCTTCTCAGCCTTGCTAATGTGGTCCAAAGGAAAGCAGAGCAATATGTTTGGCACCATATTGACTGCAGGAGTTTATGGAAGGAGGCGTACAAGGCACCATATCCAACTGTCTAAGAGACTCCACTCCGGATTTGTGTAGGATTTATTTCTTAGCCTTTTCTTCTCCCAAAGATGTCCGGCAAGGCAGGGCTACAGATTTTTCCCCGGGGTTTACTCCCAAAGCCTTTCTCACAAATGAGTATAGATGCAAAGCAGCAGAGGTTTAGGATCAGGGTTTTCCTTCTTCTTTCCTTCTCCCTCTACAACCTGTGCAGAATCCACCTTCTTGGCCATTGGACCCACTATTGGTTTCGTCTGCTCAATCCGCCAGAGCCTGTCTTCACATGTAGGGGAAGTCCCTAACTCACCAAGAGTTTGAGACCCATTGGCTACCTTCATCTGCTTTAGCCGGCCAGTCAAATCCATTTCTCGAATTGTGGCCATTGTCACAAGCTGAGAACTTCTAGGAGCTACAAGTGAGAGCTGAGTGCAGGACCTAGAGTGGTCAAACTACCCCCAGAATGAGTGTGATGTATCCTCCACCCCTCTCCTAACCCCATACATCCCCATAGAATCATAGAAACATAGAATTATAGAGTTGGAAGTGACCTTGAGGATCATCTCGTTCAACCCCCTTTAATGCAGGAATTTCAAGAGTCCCCCATCCCATTTGAAACCATACTGGACCTTGCTTAGCTTTGCAAATGTGCTAGCAGTTATTGCTGCCACACTAGATGCAGCACTAGATGAACAAGTCTTATTCTGTGTTTTATGGGTTTCAGTTTCTAATTTTAATTCTCTTAAGTTCATTTCTCCACATTTCCACCTCAGATTCCAATAAATAAACAAAAATTCTCAGGAAGATTCATTAACATTTTAATGTAAATTTATCTTAATAGTCACATGTTTGTATGTAATTCTGCCTAATATTTTAGCGAAATAATTTCTCCAAAACACTTTTAAATGGTTTCCCCACTAATACATGCCTTCTTTTCAAGCTGCACTTCTTCACACCTTCCTTGGGTGTTTTCTTTTCCCATATGCAATAGGCCTCTGAACTCCAATCATGGAGGAGGCAGCAA